GCTTCTTAATTCCCCGTTCATAACAGTTATACTAATCTTAAAACCCATTGACAAAAGTAAATTTAAATAATTTTTATAAACTGAATACAGAAGAATGCAGAAAACTGGTTTTCTCAAATCCTTATCAATTTGCGAATTGGTTTTCAGGAGTCCTGGTTAGGGTTAAAGACAAGACTGATAGATAGGGTTAATTTGTGTGCCATGTACAATTTAATTGGGAAGAGTTGAGCATTTAACACGTTTAACAGTTATTTCTACACAATGATGGTCAGAAATTGCTTTTAATTGTCTTTTTAAACTATCTGAATACTATGAAAATGTATTTCTATTGGTTGCATTACACGACTTACGACAAATTTTGTGCTTTTTGGATTTGATGAAGAAATTCAAAAGCCGTTTCTCAATTTTGAGCCCCAATAAAATACCTATTTTCAAATTATGCTTCCTAAAAGTTTCTCTGTGATGTTAAAATCCAAACAAGTACTGTTTTTTCACCCTTCATAAAGTTATACTATGGTGCTGCATCATACATGACAAGTTCATACAAGCATATACTCTTTTGGACTACACGAGACTAGAATAATTACGTGACTATCAAATTTATTAATTCAGTTCTATTGGTTTTCTTGTACCCACTTATACGGGTAGTGCTGAATAACTATTCACATAATTTTCGACATACCCTAACCTATCTATATGTCCATTGTTTTTGGAGATACAGTTGTTACAAGATACAGTTCAGATTACTATACATTCGTTCATTTCTATCCAGTTTAGATCAAACCAAAGCAATATAACTCCGGCTAACTCCACTCAAATACAATTACTGCTCATCCTATTGCCAAGATTACTACAATTCTGCTGCAATTACTCGATGGTCGATTCCTGGTGTCATTCCTAATCCTTATTATTACAATTCGGTCCTATTGACTAATATACTTATTGGTCAGTTCAAGTATTTAAATACATATTCGATGATATTATGATTCAGGTTTCAGTGAACCCATGTGTTATCGGTCACTTAAATTAGTTAACAGGTAATGTTGAACTTCTTTCGGAAAGAATCACTAGCAGACTGGATTAATTAAAATGACAAACAGCAATAGTGGTTTCGGACATTAATGAGAACAAGAATTTTCCCCAGGTTACACTATATCACTTACAGTTTTTAGATTAAATCAGACATACTAACTAGATGGAAAATTAAGTTTTGATAAGTTTGCAGGTAATGGTCTGTGGAGTTAATGAATAACTATTATGATAAATGACTAATGATCACGCAGACAGGAAAAAAAGGTAAATAAATTATTAACAGGCTTCAACACGAATTTTTACCTGCGGTCTATTGTTGTCAACTAACACCCAGATATTATTTTCACTGTCTATTGAGATATATGAAAATCGCCATATCGTATCAATAGTTCTCATCGATATCAAGCTACAGACAATAGAAAACTGATTTCAAAGACAGACAAACGGAATTTGAGCTTACTTTTCATTATCGAGTTATAAGTATTATTCATACAACGAAACCGATAGTCATTCGAAAATCTGTTGCCAAGCAAGGCGTACCGAAATCAATAGACAACACAGGAGACAAGTAAGTGTGCTCTTAAAATATAACTTTTACTCTCCACTTATGAGTCTAATTATAATGGCCCTAGAATAACTTACCGTGCTTCGCTTCAATATGTTTGGTGGCATCCAAAATCATTCTTCGTACACAAGGTAAGTACGGACTGACTCCAATGAATCACTATTGTTTCCTGTATTACTTGGCCTGAAATTTGTGTAATACTAATGGTACTGAAGACAGATTTGATCATCAACAATTACTACACATAAAATATGAAGGTTAAATCATTGTTTTATACGTCATAGTCACCCTTCTGACGTGCTGTGATTAAACCTACTCAAGAAATTAACACATTTCCATAAACTGTATAATTAAGTAACGGTTTAGCGACCCGTGGCTCTGACTCCTATTAGAGCGTACGGATAATTGTATGGATGTTTGTTATCGCCTTTTCTCGTATATCATCGTCGACTTAAATCGCGTTATCCAATAACGGAATTAAATAAGTCGAATAACGAGAATTGACTTGAGAATACATATAGTTCGTACATGAAGCGAATGAAGCATAGCAAAGCAAAATGACACGTATGGAAGATGGCTGGGAAGCCAACTCCATTTCAAGCCGGGCATTACTCAATATTTATAGGCAGACAAAATAAACTACAGACATGTGATGAGTCATGGGACATGAAGTGTACACACGTATACGCTCATATGAAAACAGTCAAGGCTAATAAGCGAATAATTAACAAGGTCAAACATGACTCACGTAGAACGAATAGAACGGAATGTCCGGAAACTAGAATAAGATATATTATGGGCTAAAACTAATGACTAACACTACAACGGTACTTAAAACGGATAAACCATGAAATGACGATACTTAGTATTCAAATGATAAAATATCTGCAACTAGGATCTTACTAACTATTTACCCTAGTAATTAAATGTCCTATCAGGCTATTCAGTTTCTTAATACATTTTGTATCAATAAATGCGAAGATTTATGCATGTAGTTCGATTTTTAGACCACGCGAGTGTTTAGTAGCATGAATCGATATTACAAACTATTGATTACACTCCAAGATTCATGTAATATTTATATTAGTAAATGTTTGCGACAGATAGCTATGCGCTACTGAAATGGGTATGCAATAAAATAGAAATACCAGCTTTACTATGTTCAAGGGAAATGTAGAAATACTTCTCTAAAGATTCCTCAGTTTCGAGTAACCTGATGGGTTTTACTATGAACTAATGTACGCGACACGTGAAACCAAATTAGTGGTTCGGGAACTAGCTTCAAGAAATATGATATACTTTTCTAGGTTAGTGCAACTTTGATCTACTGTAATCTACACTGGAAACAGTTTAGACCCATCTCTTGATAGTAAGAGTAAGGAAGATCATATGAATTTTATAACAGAAGAGCCACTCAACTTTCAGTGAGTGGAACATTAATTTGTGGCTATAGACCCTAGGTTGTCGGGTCTGAGGTAACACCTGAAATAATATAAAACAGCGTAGTAACAAAGTAGATATTACTATGTTCAGCTTCCAGTTACATTAATTATATGACACGAAGTTATACTACTTAGTACTTTAAATGAAAACAGAATGGCTTATTCACCAAGTAACTAATCTCCTTGAAATTCCTTATATCTACTTGCAAAACTACGTGAAATACATTCATATTTTATGACAAAACCAGAAGATAGTTTTGTATAATAGCAATATTTCATAAAAATTATGGTTCAAATGCATTCTACGCCTGAGTTAACAACGTCAACAATAACGAACAGTTTAAGGAAGACGACTCCCCATGAAAAAGAACACCAGTGGCAGGAAAGATAAGATTGAGATTTAATGAAGCAGCAAAACACCTTAGCAGCTGTCAAGCAAGAGAATAAATAAAGTTTTAACCGTGCACTTTTAGTGAGTCGCATTAAAAAAGAATAATAAAAACTTTCCCAGTTTATCTGTAAACGACTGTTTGTTTCCTAAAAATTTATGCTGCATTCTTGTGTTGTATAATGATTGGGATTGATCTTCGTGAACTGGCAAGAAGATACGTAGTTTTACCAGATGGTTGTCATTTTAATGAACAATGTTGAGTAAATATGAATCAGTTATGCAGAATACCTTAGAGTATTCAATCAGCCAAGTGTACGCAGTGACCTTTAACGGAAGTATATCATTCTAATTTCCTCAATAATTGAACAGTATTTCAGGTAGAGTCACAAACACACTGGTCTCGTGTATAGAACAAATCAATAATAAAGCTAACCATTATGAAGGTTCATACGTAACTTGTAAGTCAGTAAATTAGGTGATTGATTACTAATATACTTTAGTCGACAAGTTAACACATCCAAGGGTTCCATAAACTAATTACAATGCGTTCACATATCGGATAGTAAGGTGCCTGAATTGATTTAGGTAAGAATTAACAAGAAAGACAGTTAAGAAAATCCACGAGTTGGTCATTGAAACATATTACAAACATTGGGTTACACAGGCGTTTGTATCATTAACCAAACCTTTGAAGGGATATTTACAGCCACTTAAATGTTCCTGAAGCTAAGAGTAGTAAAAATGAATTAAAAACACCCGAATACTTCATCTGTGACGCACCGAAAAGCAAACAAACAACCTGTGCCAGACGGAATAATTCGGCAATGACTTAAAGAGATTGGGAATCGTATACCACGACACTTTCATTATATTACAAGACAATAGAATGTTGTTCATTGAATTCTAGTCTATCCGTGTTCAGCGGGAGTTCCGAGTCATTGGTCTGAACATGTGCATTACTCAACAAGCACTTAAATACAAATAAGCATCAACCTGTAACTTTTAACTGTCTTTCATAATGGTCAACTTTTATTCTACATACAAACAAATACAAAAGTACACATTATAGTTATAGCATTTAATGTTTTCATCCACAGAAGTTCAAAACACAAAAGGAAAACATGAGGAAAGTAGAAGAGATGCAAAGAGGACATTACATCCAAAGTTACATAACCATACAGAAGATAAATTATTTTTCATTGTTTTTACATACACATATCACAATGGGCCTGAGGCGTTAAAAAATTATAGCAACGACAAAACTAATACAAAAATAGAAGGCAGACAAAATATTTTAGTTGGTTTCCAACGTTGTTTTATTTACTTCATGTCTAACGTTAGCTTCGCTCCGATAGTTACAATGTAAATATAGCGACAGAATAACGAGAGAGAAAAAAAGTAATATCTTTTATATACTCTATTTACCTCGTGAATACACACAAATCCAAATAAATAAATCAATATTAGTGAATATTATGATGAAAAAAACAAGAAAGACAAGTGAATATATATATGTTATAATCCCAAAACAGCGAACATTACAATAACCTTGAGTAATATAAATAAGGATTTACTCCGAGATTTTAGATGATGCATTGCTGGTCTTTGGAGAAGCGATGGGTGGTGCATTTCCAGTTGGCAAGGAAGAAGTTGATAGAGCATCTACAGAATTCTAAAACAGGAAAGATAATTGAAAGAAAAGAATTTAGGACTGATGATGACGAATCGGAAGAATAAGCAGGCCTAAGGAAAATTAAAATTCAATACTTACTTAAACCTGTTACCCCTCGTGGAGAAGCATAGACCACCCACCAGTATTCTCTATCAAACTCTATCCTGGGAAATCCTTTCCAGTTGCTATTCATTCTTTTGATGTCCGCTTCCGATTCCCGACACAGTGTGTTCCTTGGCCTTTATCTTTTCCTTTAGCCTTCAGGATTTCAAGTTGATGCTTGCTTCGCGATTCAGTTTGATGTTTGCGGCAATGTATGCCCTATCCACTTCCAGAGTTTTTTCCTAATTTCCTCTTCAGTTCGAAGCTGGTTTGTTTTTCCCACGGTAGGCTGTTGCTGATTGTATTCGACCAAAGGATCTGGAATATTTTGTACAGACAGTTGTTTGTGAATACTTGTACCATTTTGATGATGGTTGTGGTAGCTATCGAAGTTTCAGCTCCGTACAGTAGAGCTGTCTTGACATTCGTATTGAAGATTCTGACTTTGACAGTTGTTTTAAGTTCCATATGTTCTTCAAGTGTAGGAATGCGGCCCTCGCTTTGTTAATTCTCGCCTTTACGTCTGCATCGGATCCTCCTTGTTCATCGATGATGCTGTCCAGGTATGTGAAGGTTTCCAACTCTTCCAAAGTGTCTCCATCAAGTGTGATTGGGTCGGTGTTCTCCGTGTTTTATTTCAGGATTTTGCCTTCCCCTTGTGTATGTTGAGGTCTATTGATGCAGCGGCTTCGGCTACACTGTTTGTCTTGACCTGTATTTGTTCGTGTGTATCGGATAGAAGGGCCTGATCGTCTGCGAAGTCCAAATCGTCTAGCTCATCCCAAGCTGTCCATTGTATTCTGTGCTTCCCGTCAGATGTGGAGGTCTTCATAATGCAGTCAACAACCAGAAGAAAGAGCAAGGAGGAGATTAAGTCGCCTTGTCTGACTCCGGTTCTCAATTGGAATGTGTCTGTCAGCTGCCCTGCATATACAACCTTGCAGTGTAGTCCGTCGTGTGAATCTCGGATGATGTTTCACGATCTTAACAGGTATGCCATAGTGTCGAAGAAGTTTCTATATGGTCCGCCTATCCACACTGTCAAACGCTTTCTCACAGTCAAGAAAGTTGATGTATAGTGACGAATATCATTAAATTGATTGCTCGATAATGATCCATAGTGTGGCGACTTGGTCTGTACACGACTGATCCTTACGGATTCCGGTTTGTTGATCTTGAATCTGTATGTCTGCTTAATCTTTCACCAGGTTCAGCAACCCTTTGTTGAAAACATTTCGTGGTACTGATAGTAGCCCGACCGTTGCTGCTACCTTGATGTGGTGGCCAGGTGTGCATACTGTGATGAACCAGTCGAGCCATACTGGTTAGAACAATCGTTCCTCAAGGTCCAACCATGAGACAGGTCAGTTGAAGAACGGTAAGACTAAAAGCAGCAAACTCAAGGTCCGAAGGCGAAGTCGTTCTGCTGACTGTACAGAGGTGTGACGGCAGTAAGGTGTTTCCTTCAGACAACCAGCATGACAGCGATGCTGCCTTCCCACAAGGAGGGGCGGGGGGTCAGAAGAAATCGACCCTAAAAATACACATCTCTTCTTATCCCACGGATTTCCGTCTCCGGCGGTAAGGTTCCAATATGTACGGAGCCAACACGAAAATTACTCACAAAACGTCGTGTGTGACCGACATCACGCAGTTGTTCCCCTGACACTGCGGTCACTCTCTCAGATTACTAAGATCACCTCTAATCCGACTTCTTTTTCAGGTACTTCCAGAAGAACCCTTCCACGATGTAGACAACCGGGAAGTGATAACCGCTCTCATACTTCTAACAGCACTCAAGACCATTGTATTAATAATCAATCTTCCCCTTCAATTCCTACTATTCCTCTTACACTATCCCAGGTCTACTGAAACCTCGCTCCAAACTATACATTGGAGCATTCAACGTACGTACCGTATGTCAAATCGGCCAGCAGACGTCCTCGGCTAAAACCTTAGAATCTCGTACCATTAATGTATGCTGTCTCCGAAACACGCATTTAGGATTCTAGTGTGGTCATTCACTTGATCTCACCTCGCCAAAACAGAAAGCCGACGAGATACACTCTGCGTGTATCTGGAGACCCGATGACTAGTTCATGTGGACTGGCAGGTGTAGGTATATCGATAAGTACAATGGCAGAACAAGCACTATTAGACTGGAAACCCGTTAACCGTCGTCTATGTGCTGTTAGGCTAAACGGCTCCGTGAGAACTTCGAAGGAAAGGGACATGTCGTTGCCTTTTCATCGCTCCCACTGACTGCAGCCTGGATGAAGTGAAAGATGACTTTCACAGAAGGCTCAACGCTAAGACAAAGTACTCGTAGCAGGTGACTTTAATGTCCAGGCAGGTAGCTTAAACCAAAGAAAAAGACATTCAGATGCGAATTTTGATATTTCGGCTCAGCGAACAGATAATGGTGACTGCTGCAGCTACTGTGCTCAGACAATCGTTTACTTTTAGCAAATACTATTTTAAGCATAAGGAGAGATATCGTTTCACATGGCGACCACCTGCATCAAACCAACGATGGACTCAAATAGACCATATTGCCATCAGTCATCATTGGAGTGGCTCAATAGAAGACTGTCGCTCGTTCTGGAATATCCGTTTGGACTCCAATCATGCTCTAATACGAGCATGTGTTCTCTTGCGTCTCTCTGAACGCGGGCAAATCACATCGAGAAGACCCATTAGAGACGAACTCAGTGACGAGGAAGTCAAAAGTAGATTACAGGAACAACTGAGATCACATTTACGTAGTTCTGAAAACGAGACTGACCCAGATGTTGCTTGGAACGAACAGCTGTGGAAATAGCAGTGACATCTATTAGTGATTTAAACCAAAGGGTTACGAAGAACCAATGTATTTCTACTAAGTCTATTGCACTGATGGATTCTCGCGAACTTACCCCATCAGGCCCTAAACACGATGAAAAACGAAAACCAATGAAATCTAGATTAACCATAAGTCTAAGGAACGACCGTGAGCAGTGGTGGGCAACGAAAGCAAAAGAGATGGAAAAGGTGGCGGTTGTAGGCAACAGCAGATAGCTTTTCAGACTAATAAAATAAACGAATTAGGAAGTTATGTGTAAGTGAGACGATCTCGGAAAAAGACGATACTTGTCTGCTCTCAGCCCAGACGCTTAGAACGATGTGCGGAGCACTTTGAGGAGCAGTTTAACTGGCTTTCAGTTACTCTACGACTACCCACCATTCCCAAACAGTCTGAATGGAACATTGAAGTAGCCCCCTCGACTCTAATTGAAGTTCAACAAGCTATAGTTAATCTGAAACGAGGAAGAGCAGCTGGTCCAGATGGATTGGCTCCAGAGGTCTTTAAGTACGGTGGTCCAGCTTCAGCGATTAGGTTGATCAATATTTCAAAAAGACCTGAGAGTTGGACGTAATTTCGTCTGACTGGTCGCAATTACTGATTGTCCTGATATATAAAAAGGGGTCAAAACCATCCTGTGCTAACCATAGAGGGATTAGTTTGACTGACGTAGCATCTCAATTACTGTCCTTGATAATTATCGGGGGCCTCACAAAGACATGTGAACTGCAAACACGAGAAACTCAGCCTAGATTCAGACGTGGTCGTGGCTGCGTCGACCACATATTTACCATTCGTCAGGTTCTAGAACACAGGCATACTTATCGGCGTCCGACAATGGTGGTCTTCCTTGACTTAAAAGCAGCATTTGATTCCGTAGACCGTGAGATCCTGTGGCAGTGTTTGTCATTGAAAGGCGTACCTCAGAAGTACATAAACCTTGTGAAGGCTCTTTACTCGAACGCTACCAGTCGTGTCAGAGCCTATGGTGAACTGTCATCTGCCTTTGCAACCTCAAGTGGTGTCCGACAAGGCGGACCACTTTCTCCATTTTTGTTTGACTTCATCATCGACCTACTGATGGAAATAACGTTCTCATCGTCTGAATTTTCAGGCATTGGTCTCCTACGAGGAGGTCCACTTATCGACTTAGAATACGCAGATGACATTGTTCTGTTTGTTGAAGACGCTGATAAAATGCAGTCTTTTGGTAGAATTGAGCAACAATGCCAGAATGTTTGGGATGCGTTTTTCCCCCATTAAATGAAAATTGTTGGTCCAGGACTAGCCTGTGTCAACACCTAAACTAAGGATAGGGAGTGAAGTAGTCGAACGCGTCGACAACACTTATCTTGGAAGTCTGGTCAGCCCTAATGGGTTGGCGTCTGAGGAAATCTCTGCACGAACTCTGAAAGCTCGTTTGGCTTTTTCCAACTGACGTCACTTATGGCGGAGGAGAGATACATGCCTTGGTCCTACGTTGTAGCTGACTGACTGACTAACCGATAGTAGTGTGATACCTCTGTAGTTCTTAGATTTGCTGAGATTTCATTGCTTTGATATCTTGATGAGGTGTCCTTCTTCTATTCAGTCAGTGGCACTTTTTATTCCTCTCAAATCTTCCCGAATAGAAAATGGAGCATGTTCGCAGTTACTTCGATGCTTGGCTTCATATTGTTGTCTAATATTTGGTTTTCTGGCAGCCTTTCTGTTGTCATGGCATTCTTCCACATATTTTCGTTTATTAACTCTAACGCTTCTCTACTTGATTGTTTGCTTCTGTGTATTTGGTCTGTGAATTAGCTTTATCTGCACTTGTCCGATTGTTTTTAATCCGTTTTCTTGTTCTTCCTTTCCTGAAACTTGTACAGGTTTTCCATAGAGAACCATTCCTTATGACGATGCTTTGTGATGCCCAGGACCACCTGATACATTGAAGGTAGTGCTTCTTTGATTCCTTCACAATTGTCCTGCATAGTACTTTCTTCTTCTCTCAGTAGATCTTGCAAGACTTGGGACCTACTGTTGAGAGTTATCTTGAATTCGTTGAGTTTGTCAGTATGTCGAAGGCTGCATTGAACCATCGTATAACTGTTTCCCCAGACGTTCAGTGTTTCTTTAACTTCAGTTTCATTTTGGTAGTCACAACTAGGTGGTGATCTGAAGCTATGTCAGCTCCTCTCCTGGTTCCCACGTCTTTCCATTGACATGCTGAATTTTTTACTGATGTAAATATGATCGATCTGGTTCCGTAAAGTGTTATCCGGTGAGACCTATGTAGTTTTGTGTATGCATTTGTGGGGGAATGCACATAAATTTACAAATCCCCTAACATTCTCATTCCTTCCTCACAGTCCACATTGTTCCATGATATCTTCATACCCGGTGTTGTCCATTCCGACTTTGGCGTTTAGGTCTTCCATCAGGATGGTCGGGTCCCTTCTTGAGCACTTCGCTATAATCGATTGCAGCCTCTTGTAGAAGTGATCTTTATCATTGTCGTTACTATTAGTGAAGGGCGCGTAACACTGAAAACACTCATTGTGATTCCTTCCTGCCTTGTTTTGAAAGATGCTGATGATCCTGGGTACATGAGATTCCTAACCTATAAGTGCATAACGTGCTTCTTTAAAAAGCATCAGCGCAACTCCTTAAGTGTGCGAGTTATTTTCTTTTTCATGATGAAAGTAGAGGGGCATCTCTCCCGAATCTAACGTTTTTTATCCAGCTTGGGTCTAATGGGTACCACTGATTCCGAGCACCTCCAAGTTGTATTTCCTCATTTCCGTAGTTACTTGATTAGTCCTGCCGGCCTCTCACATTGTCCGAACATTCCATGTACCTATATTAATTGTTACTCTGGTTGTTAGAAGAAGCATCGGTTTTCCCCATGAGGCGTCATAACTTTTTTTGAATAAAGATGCTTTGACATCCAGGGCAGTTTAAATGGTTCAAATCGTTTATTGTGGTTAGAATTTTTTTAGCAAGATTGTCTTCTACGGGATGGGGATGCTGAGCTTATGACCAACCTTTCTCCTTTACACAGGGTAGGCTGGTTTCAGAAAAAAAGGAATCGCATACACATTATGACAGGTAGTTATATGAAAAAAACAGAAGAGTTGTTTACAGTTTTTTCACCTAGTTACCATGTGAACCGTCCTTTAAATTGAGTTCTTTATTGTAAATATTCTATGTTAGCAGTCTGTCTCATCGAGTAATCAGTGTGTACACACACACACAAATGAACAGTAGTTATTACCATATACAAGCGACCTTGGTATATTATTCAACAAGTTGTTTGGGGTTAAGGTCAAATATGAAACTAATTTTCGTATGTAAAGAACTAAGCAACGAAAAATAATATATAAAACATACAGGTAGCTGACGCCCTTTTGTTTCTATTGGTAGGAAAAGGGATACAATTGAGACTATCAGGGTTACAGAGGCATATAAAGATAAAGCTCCAATTTCCGATACTTCTGGCATCATTACTTGAGCTACATAAGGTGTGACCATTGCACCCAATCGGGCAATCGAACTGAACATCCCGACAGCTACTGCACGAACAGTTGTAGGATAGACCTAAAAATAAAGATATGGGATGGGTTAGTATACAATAATGTGGCTTTAATCGATTAAACCCTAAGTATAAACTACTGAGAATCACTTGGAGTATTGAGTCAGTAATAAGAACTCAGAAAACAATAAATGAAATAATGTTACGGCAGTGTTATGCGGCGATATTTTAATAGGGAACGAAGCTGCTTATTTTCACCAAAAGACAATCAAGTTAATGAAAAAAATGGAATTGTCTGAATTCAAGATAACTATGCAAACCATACAAATAAATAAAACAAATATTAGATTCCATGATGTTATATTAGCTATTAAAATTATATAAGGTAGGAAGAAAGTCAGTCAGTCAGTAACAACGTAGAACTTTGTACGTACGTACATCAGTTCGAGTTGCCATACCACATTAGCACAGAGACGCAGTTGTCGATTCAAATCCCCTAGTGGTAGAGGTAATAAGAGTATAAGCAGTAATCGGGAAGATTAGGGTTTGCAGATGTTATTTAAAGAGTATAATCCAGTGAAATAAATTTGGAAAGAGGAAAAAAGGGACATGAAGAATTCAGAAGATTAGAATTTGGGAGAACACAAAGGGTGGATACACCTGCGCCATTGCAAACGGTTTGAGCCATGTCATTCAGGGTCTCTAACCATCGGTTGCTATCATCTCGTGGTCCCCAACCAGGTAGTCTACACCTACCAACATGACTCAGTTCACTTGTCAGTGACTTCATGGACTTGTGCTATGTTTTGGTCTGGCCGCCTCTAGCTTTCTTACAACCTACTCCTATACCACTGAACATAGCACGTCGAGGTAGTCGGTCGTTGGGCATACATAACACGTGTTCGAGCCATCTCAACTGATGAAGTTTCACTACGTCATCATTTGATTTGCCATCCTTACCTAGTACCCGTTTCCTAACAACTGTATTACTTACTCGATGGTCCCAGAATATACGAGCAATGTTTCAAAGACACCTATGATCGAATACTAGTAGCCTACGAATATCCTCTACTCTTACCGGCCACGTTTCACTGCCATAAAGTAGGACGGAACGAACTGCTGCGCAGTAAACCCGTCCTTTGGTTGATAGACGGATATCTCGCCTACGCCATAAATGACGCAAGTTGGCAAAAGCTAGTCGAGCCTTCTGTATCCGTGCTGAGATTTCGTCACACACCAGACCACAAGGGCTGATGAGACTCACAAAATAAGTGAAGTGGTCGACACACTCAATTACTTCACTCCCTATCATTAGTTCGGGTGTCGATACAACCCAATCCTGAAACAACATTTTGCATTTCGAGGGGGAGAATCGCATTCCGAACATGCTTGCATTGTTGCTTAGAGTGGTCAGAAGACTCTGTATTTTGTCAGCGTCTTCACCAAATAGAACTATGTCATCGGCATATTCCAAGTCAACAAGTGAATCTCCCGGTAGAAGTCCAACCCCTGGAAATTCCGATGAGGAGAGTATTATCTCTAAAAGTACGTCGACCACAAAGTTGAACAAGAATGGAGAGTGGACAGCCCTGACGAACACCACTTGAGGTAATCAATTCTGATGACAGTTCGCCATAAGCTCTAACTCGACCAGTTGTGTTCGAGTAGAGAGCCTTCACAAGGTTAATGTACTTCTTTCGTACTCCTTTCAGTGACAAACACTGCCATAGAACCTCACGATCAACAGAGTCGAATGCCGCCTTAAGGTCGAGAAATACTACCATTGTGGGGCGTCTGAATGTGTGTCTGTGTTCTAGAACCTGACGTAGTGTGAATATCTGGTCTATACAACCACGTCCAGGTCGAAAACCAGCCTGATTTTCTCTAGTCTGTTCTTCACGAGCTTTGGTTAGGCGTCGAAGTATTATTGAAGCTAATATTTTAGACACTATATTAGTCAAACTGATTCCTCTGTGATTGTCACAAGAGGACTGTTGTCCTTCTTATAGACTGGCAAAATCAGTGATTGAGACCAGTCAGATGGGATTACGTCCAGTTCCCAATTTCTACCTAAGACCTCGGTTAATCTCATTGGTAATACTGGACCACCATCCTTAAAAATCTCAGGAGTAAACCTGTCAGGGCCTGTTGCTCTCCCTCGTTTCAGATTTCCTATGGCTTTTTCAACTTCGTAAAGGGACGGAGGACCTACATTAACTTACCATTCAGGTTGACTAGAGATCATGGGGAACCGAAGTGTGGCTGAAGGCCAGTTGAACTGATCCATAAAGTGTTCTGCCCATCGATCCAATCTCCTGGATTGAGAATGAATAATATGTCCATCTTTCTCTGAGATTGTTTCGCTAACGGTCGGGTCCCTAATACCGGTTTCCTTAACAAGTCTGAACAATTGTCTGCTATTACCTATTGCCGCTGCCTTTTCCATCTCTTGCTTTCGCTACCCACCACTGTTCCCGATCATTGCGTAGGCTTCTTGTCAGCTTGCGCTCAAGCTGACTCCGCTCGTCATTATGTTCAGAGCCAGGTGGAATGAGTTTCCGAGCATCTATCAGTGCGATAGATGCTGCTGAGATCCAGTGTTGCTCCCTAACCTTACGGGTTACCGTACTAGCAGATATCACTGCTGTTTCCACAGCTTTTCGGATATCGTTCCATGCTGCCTCGGAGTGGACATCACTTACATGGCTGCCTAACTGTTTTCCTAGTTGTTCCTGAAATGCACTCTTAGCTTGACTATCATTAATTAGGGCCCTAAGAGGTTTACTTGCAGTGTCTTTCCTACGTCCAGTAAGACGCAGACAGATACGCGCTCTCACTAGAGCATGATCTGAATCTAAGAATGAGCGAGTCTTCCATCGAGCCCCTCCATCAGTGGCTGATAGCGATGTGATCTATTTGGGTCCAACGTTGGGACGAATTAGGGGGTCGCCATGTTAAAAGATGTTTTCCTTATGCTTAAAGTTAGTATTTGCAAGGAACAGGCGGTTATCTGAGCATAGCTGCAACAGATGGTCGCCATTATCTGTTCTTTGAGCCACGACACCATAAGATCCACCCAGGTGTCTTTCCCTATCGCTTAGTTTACCTACTTGAGCATTAAAGTCACCGGCCACTATTACTACATCCGAGCGCCTAGCTTTTAGAAGGACGTCGGAGAGCTTTCTGTAAAACTCATCTTTTACATCATCTGAGCTGCAGTCAGTGGGGGAATAGGGAGAGACCACGAAGAGGCAACGACGAGTGTCCCTATCTTTCCGGATTCTTACTGTTTCGTTCAGCCGGACAGCGCACAAACGACTGTCTACTAGGATCCACTCTAAGAGAGCTAGTTCTGCCCTAGGACTCAATGCTATACCTACGCCGGCGAGGCCACGGGAAGCAGAATCTGGGCTTCCAGATGCACGAAGTGTGAATCGAGTCGTTGTTTATTTTGGCATGGTGAGGTCAAGTGAATGACGCTACTCGGATCCTGTATGCGCGTTTCGGAGACGCAGCACATCGATGGCGCGGGATTCTAAAGTCCTAGCTAAGGAAGCCTGCTGTCGTATTTGGTAAAGTGTTCGTACGTTAAAAGCTCCTACGTGTAGTTTAGAGCGTGGTTTCAGGAGACCAGGAATGGCGTTCCACGTACTCGAATCGTTCGCCCTAGCGGTGCGAGATGATAAAGAGACGTGAGAAGGGTTAGTCATGGAGATAAGAGAGGTATTAGGAGGTGAAGGAAGGATTTGAATGTGACCAACTTGGTCTCGTGTGCTGTTACGGGTATGAGGGCTGATATCACTTCCCGGCCCCCCACACCGTGGAAGGGTATTTCTTGAAGAACCTGAAAAGGAAATTGGATTAGTGTTGGTCTTAACGACCTGGGAGCGTGACCACAGAGCCCAAGGGACAACTGCTTGAGGCCGGTCGCGCACGGTTTTTTCTTGGAAGGTTTTTAATGTGTTAGCTCCGTTCTTCAAAGGGCCTTACCGCCGGAGACGGAAATCCGTGAGGTAAGGTGGGGTGTGACATTTTTTGGGTTGACCTTTTCTAGCCCCTTCCTTCCTTGTGAGAAGGCGGCATCGCTGCAGATGCTGGTTATCAGAGGGGAACACCTTACTGCTGTGACACCCTTCTACAGTCAGCAGTACGACTTCGTCCTCAGACCTTGAGTTGCTGCTTTTAGTCTTATCGTTCTCCAATCGACCTGCCTGGCATGGTAGAATCTACAGGAACATATGTTCCAGCCAATATAGCTCGGTTGGGTCATCACGATAGGCAAGCCCGACCACCGCGTCAAGGTAGCAGCTTCGGTCGGGAGAAAATGTGTGTATGAATAAAAAAGAACGCTAGTACGATTTAAAACAATGTTATTATAGGTGTAAGATGTGAAATCATTATATTGAGTAAAGATGCTCTTGAATTTCAATATGTCTTACAATTAGGAAAAAACATTTATCACGCTGTCTTTCCCTGAGGTGGTCTCTCACATTTACTGGTTAAAACATTCTTTCGTAAGAAATGAGATGGGGTGGTTAGCAGAAATTACATACGAATACTTACAAAAAAAATTATCAGCAAATAACTCTCAAGGAACTTATGTGTAAAAACTTACCTCAGTTGTGTAAACGTATGCACAACTAAATAAACCGGCAGACAAAGCGCGCAAAACAAATAATAGAGCTGTTAATGCTGACTTAGGCATACAAAGATAAAGTAACATAAACAGAACAGCTATAAGTCCATTCCACGTAGCCAAAGTAATCTTTCTTCCAGCTAAGTCGACCATGAAAATCATTAATGGTATACCTGAAAAAGAAACAGACAAGTGACTGAAAGAACCATAAAAAAGGAATAGTAGCTGACTGGAAAACATGCGAAGGAAGGAAAGACTAACTAACAAATAGATAAAGTACAGTCAAAGCTTTTAAACGATTTTTTTTTACGTAAAGAACTATTAATTCGCTACTTCACAAGTCGATGATCACCTACTACAATTACCTCACAAATATATGCATTTTTACGTAATAGTCGAGAAGTAAAAACAAGTCAGGATTACTTTTATTCCATGTAATGCTATTTAGGGTGATATCAGAAGCAAATGTCAGGATCAATGACAAGCCAAGTCTGTGAAGGTGAATGAGATAGCTAATCTATTCCTAGTTAGATGATGAGAACAGATAAAATACACCACGGAAGTGCCATAAAAAGGTAAAATCAAAGTTGAGGAAAACGAATATTCAATATTCTGTGAGATTGATTGTACGTGTTGCACTAACATCAAACTAATCGAAATACTAAGATACTAGCGAATGCGAATGATACCAACAGATCATGGATAACCAAAAAAGGAAGCTAGGAAAGATACTCACATCACAACATTTGACAATCTTGACAACAGAGATCGAGATATCAAGCAGACGACATAGAGAACAAAGAAACACCCTCAAGAACAAAAACTAATAAAGATTGCAAAGTCACCCATAGAACAAAACACAAACAACTGTGTGGTCAACCTGGTAAAACAACCTCTGATGAAGAAAGAATAACATCTCCGAAAAGCATTTAACTACAATGCACGTGACACTTAAAACTAGAATTCTTCGCTGCACTAGAGTCATCACTTTAAACTGTCGGGATAAATGAAGAAACCCAAGAAAAATTAAAACAAACCATAGTACCGCTAACTCGACAGGAAAAAGAGGACACCCGATTGACCGCACAAGAACAGGAAATTTTAAAGAAACTCAAAACAAAAAAAAGATATTATAATAGTTCAAGTGCAAAAAATGCACTACAGTCTTTATGGAGAAGGAACGATATATCAGGAAAGCAAAGACCTGCTTAGGGATAAAAGCCTAAACAAATCAGTGAACAGAATTTCAATCAAGATCAAAAGAGAATGGAATTCAGTGGGTCAGTACTCCCTCGACTTTATGGTGAGTCGAAAATACACAAGCCAAATACCCCCAGTATGTCAAATTGTATCGCACATCGGAAGCCCAACATACAATTCATCAACAGAAACTTCAAGAATATTGAAACCTTTAATAGATTCATCCAGTTACGCGATCGAATCTCCCATAAAGACGTTGAATAAGATTATCAACATTCAGACCAACAATAACGAACTGGTGTTATCTGTTATGACTGCGTCGCCATTTGACAAGTTTGGTTGTTGCTAATGGTTATGTATGAAATGCTTATTACTTATATTTGAAAAAAAAACAAGGAAATATTCCAATTTCCACAACGCGAATTAAAAACACCAATGCTGGAACAACTCAAAATTTATTAACTTCAAAACATGACAAAAACCCTTGTGTCGAAAATACACTCATTTATATATTGATTGTGCACCCATCTTGATTATTAATTAAGATGAAATCACATATATGAAAAATACCCAGAGTTATAACGAACCACATGCTGTATGTCATGTTGTGCATAGTTTACATTAATCTAATACAAGAATATTATATCTTGACTAAACATGATACTCAAATAAATTAATGTTGAACTGAATAAAATATCACACTGTCAAATAAAGACAAATATTACTCTAAATAATTAACGCATTGAATTAAAAAACATGGAAGTAATGTTGACCAAAAATCACAATGAGCAAAAAGATGTAATTTTGACTTTTTAATCCCGTCGTATCAATATCCTTCGATGTGAGAGCTTTATTTTTCTCAACTGAACCAAGCTTATCAAAAGGAATCCTATCCCTGTTCCTCATGAACGACATGAATCTCCAAAAGCACACAAGAACATGTCGTTTTATGCTTAAGAACATACTTTCAGTTCAACAATAAAATCTACGAATAAACGAAGGGAATGCAAATATCAGGACTCATTACAGAGGCAATGATGCAGAGATTTGAAGTCACTGTCTTACCGGTGATCAAGACAGAAACTTGGATTCGTTATATGAATGACAATTATGTTATCATCAAAAGTGATGAGTCGGAAAACACGTACCGTCTGATCAGCAACATATTCAATGATATAAAATAAATCCCAAGCAAACCAAAGGATGAAATGACAAAAGAAAAGAACTGGACATCATCTACAAAGTAAATTTTTCCGATTGCAAAAAACACTGCATCGGATAAAATGGATGGCTTCTTCGACTTTGCCTGCACGAACATCAATTAGCAGTCAAACTCCATGACATATCTTCGCTTATATCAGTCAATGTGAACCACTTTGGACACAAATTCGACTGGGAAAATGTTGAAATCTTAGATAGATGGAATACTAAAAACACTAGATAAGTTTTATAAGCTTGGCGCTCAGGTCAACAGACACAACAAACTGATCCAATTTACCAACCAATCAGAAGAATCAGGGACAAATATAGGACCAAGAATCAGATCAAGGGAACATACAATCAATATAATAAAGTACACAATGACAGGTTAAAGGTCAACAACAACCAATCAAGATCGACGTCGACAGGACAAGTTGAGTCATATGATGGGGAATTCAAATACTCCGCTTCTACCTGAAGTTTGGCTCTGATGTTGTTCGGAAGAACAATGAAAGCTCCAGAACTAAACCACCTAGCTCAAAGAACAAAACTCCACTTGAATATGAATGTTAATGATTGGCTACTTGACTGAATAGTACATCATATTCTATCCTGATTGTCAATTCGAAAATTGAGGGAACCGTATGCATCTAATCAGTCACAACAATAACATAGCTTTTGGACCTCTTAAACTATCGTTAAAAAGTTAAATGACAAAAGACTTAGCAAATTACAACAAGCATATGCTCACATGTAAAGCAATTAAACAATGGAATAAACTGGTTTATATTGATCAGCAAGTATAAAAATACTACGTGTATACAAAAATATCTATCGATTTTGTAACAGATTAACTAAATCTACCACTTTCTATACCTTCAGAAATATGTCTTACGTGACATACATGTATATTGAAAACTGCACTGTGGTATATGTATTAGTTCAATATTTGAATCCATAAGACATAAATACAACATATAAACTGATAATGTAAACAAGTAATACAACATATGTTTTGTATGTACACAAACTTCCTGGAAAACGTATCATTAAGTGACCATCGAATTAAACAAATAAAACAATTTAGCAAGAGTATGGATAGAGGGGAAACTTAAAATTAGAGGAAATGTTAATTTAGTTGATCTATTGAATACAATCTAGTGTCCTAAAACCTCTAACCAATAAAACTATCGCCCGTACTACGTAGACAAACATTTAGCGATTTTTGTTACATTTTGGTATAAGAATATTCAATATAGTCTTAGAGAAAAGTGGTAATTGCTAAGGGAACCTCAGAAGAACTGACGGTGCATTATTTCAAGGGTTCTCAAAAAAGGATCATTTATTCATTGTTCGCCTGATAACATTTTAAAGATTTTTTTTACAAAACTAACACAAACTTACTAACAAATTCACCAATTGAAGAGACTAACATAGCGACATAATCATCATCAGACAACTCTTTACAACAAAAGTTGTCTATTTGGCTTGAAGTTTCCAGAAGTGGTGGGACGTTAAAATGGCTCAGGTTACCATGATAGTCTGGGGTTAGAATAGGTTCTAATAAGCGAGAAAAACGAAAACCAGATAATTATATTACTGTAGATTCACTAAAGCCTTAAACAATCAGTTATTTCTATGCTAATCAAAAACTGTCGTACTACTGGACAAAGAAACATGCAAAGTCTTTCGATTAAGGTTACTTGAAGGCAGAAAGTTAAACTTACTACCAAAACAAGAGTGCTTGAAGCGAAATATTTCAGCACTTAATAGAACGACACCATAATAAACAAATGCTGCACTGAACCATACAATCGGCAACATTAGTGTAGTCACTAAATAGGTTTTCCCAAACATTCCTTTTATACTGCCTCTATCTCGTATCTATAAAACAGATGAAAAGATAATGATCTGTTTAGTTAGCATAATTGATACATTCATCTGAACAAAACAACCCTGATAAAAAGTGAACCTGAATTGGAGGAATATAATTTATTCAACTTGAATATTTTACGGATTGGGACGACCAGTGCAACTATTATTATGTTCGTTCACTTATGAGACTATAATTGGAGTTCTTAAAGTTCCATCTCAAAAAATGTAATACGAACTCCCGCAAATACTAATGTATTTTTCACTAAAATCAAAACTAGTTTAAATGTAGATAAACTCACTTAGTCTTTATCCGTTTTCATTTGTTACTTAATTTCTGGTTATTATCACAACGACTAAATCAATATTAGAAATAATTCAAGTCGTCCTATAAATAGCTTGGTCAAATTTAGTTACAACACTTAGTTCATTATTGCTCCCACTTCAACCTGCATTAAAACAGTATTTTGACGCATATCAGTTTGCTTACAAATGCAAAAGAAGTACCTTAGATGCTGCTGTTGTTCTGCAGCATAATACAGCGCTTAGTTTGGGAAAGGGTAAGAAATGTGTTTCATGAACATTTCTAGACTATATTACTTTCGAGAACACTACCACTAAACAAGTTTGGCAGCGTCAACACCGACAGCTATCTGGGTGTCTTACCTGTTCGAAAGAGAACAGTGTATCATGCTTGGAGAAAAGTGTTCAACGTCTCTACTAACTCAAGATGCGCCACAAGGAGTTACCCTTTTCTCTGTTCTTTCTTCATTTTTTCTTTATGATCTGAGATTCCCTATGGAACATTCTTTATTACGTATGCTAGTGGTCTTATTCCATTTCTGCCTCTTCACATCCCCTTGAAATGAAAGAATTCTTGTCTCTCATTGGACGATGGTATGTCTCTAATGGTCTTGCACTTGATTATTTTAGGTGTCAAACTACTAGTTTTAGCCTGGAACATGGGCAGTACTCAAATACCATTTTGGAGTCCCATTAAGTTTGTAATATCTTAGCGTAAACTTTTCCTTTGATCTCTCTTGAGCTTCTCATGTTTTATTGATATCGAAGAAAGTTTTCCGTTTGACTTATTTTATAGAGACCACACACTTTTGGCATTACTTGACATTTACTTTAACGATTTGTAAGTTCTTGAACATTATCTATCGTACTTTACTGTTTGAAACCACTCCCTTCCGGGTATTTTAGAAAAGATTTTGTTGTGTTGCGGAGTGCTGAAGGGGGTTAGCAAGGCATGTGGCGAATCTTTTGAAGTCATTATGAATATAGTTGTGGATGGACAATTTAAATCTTGCGAACTCCTGACAGATGTTATCTTATGTGATAATAACCATCCATTTCATTTATATCTTTCTTCTTGTGAATTTTCTGGCAGAATGAAACGTCAATACAACAGAAATCATGGACGCAAGCAAAGATATAAAGGCTCTAAAATACCGTATCTATCAAATGTACTATGAGACGAACATGTTGTAAAACCTGTCTTGGACAAAAACTTGTATTCTTAAACATGTTTCCAACTAAAAACATGTATAGATTCTTATTGTATTAAAAAGAAACTTAATTTCAGGTAGTTTATATACTACTTTCATGTATATATGTGTGCACCTACTGACTTTTTTGTTTTGTAAAAGAAAGTTATCGAAATATTTTGTGTTGAGAAGTCCATGTTGTACGACACATGATATTTAATAAAACCATGAATAATAATGATAACAATAATTTCATAATGCTGTACGCCTAAATGATGGAGATACTCCGATTTAACTGGAATTTTTCTTATTAGAAACATGGATAAGAAAACCTAGTAAATAATGGGAGCAAAACACTCTCATTACGAATGAAAACTAACAAATACTACATTGATTAAGAATTGGTATGTTTTATTTTAAGCATCAAGTACATTTCTCGACATAAAGAGATAACACAAGTGGAATTATGGTGAATAAAGATTGGAGATGGTTGGATTAACAAGCTGAATAGATACACCCGGTTCTAGACTTCCTGTCTAAAGTGTGCACAGAAATGTAGGACAATGAACTAACTCTCAGATTGCAGAAATTAGCTGCTGAAGACTTTATGTGAGGTCAATCAAAACTATAGTTTTGCAGCCACAAACAAATCGCCTATCTCGAGACAAGCGATAAAGATATTTTGATTGGTCCATCATTTTTTTCTCTTCGGCATACTTCGGCGTTATTTATAATTTCTGTACTAACGTTTCGTAATTAATGATGATGTGAAACGTTCAATAAGTACAAGTTTCATGAACTCGATTTTGAGTCACACCACTTATACGTAGAGGGTAGTGATGTAACCCAGCTACCCGAACTAAAGTGACACTGGGTTCGAACAAGTGACCAATAGGTTGAGAACTGATTGCTTCAACCACTAAGCTGTCTGATTAAGAATTACAGCAACAACCGACTGGAGCATCCTCCGATCAATTCCATAGTTTATAAGTGTAAAATATCATTTTTAAGGACCTCTTTTGAATCTTTCAAAATTCACTTGAACAACAGTGTAAGTGTAGTTAAGGTCTTAAAAAAATCCAAGAAAATATGAAAATTTTAGAATCTTACAGGCAGAGATCTTAACTGCAGGTCTTTTTTATTCACTTGTAGAAATATGTGTATGCAAGGCAGTTAATTAAGATCTAACGGATAGAAATAACTTTTTGAAGTGTAGAAGTCTTCTACCTGAAGTTTGTCATTGTTGCGAAACAAGTGATAAAAAAAGAGTCAATAGAAAGAAAGATAATGATCGTATTCAAGGCTACTCTTTTGGTGGCTTCATAAATATATTTATCATAAATTAAACATGGAAAAGCAGTAGGTAAATAGAAAATTATGTGAATAAACAAATCACAATACTTATGTCTGACATTGAATCGATTTTGAAGAAGCTAAATGAATTAATAGATATGTACTTTAGAAAAAAAGGTGGATTTCGTTTAATAAACAACCAAAGAAAAGAGAATTATAATACATATTGAATCGATAGAAAGGTAGTACTAACTACAGTGCCATAAACTAAAATGGATGGCAAGTAAAAAGCTCCTTGCTAATTGAAATTCCATTAAGACATGGGTTCCTCTTACAGAAGTTTGGGACTTGATTATTCAATAAATTGTTGAAGGTTAAACTGTTGAGATATTCAGAAAAATATCCCAAAAATTATTTTGTGAAGTCTAACGCTATCCTTTGGACTTGAGATGGTATCATTTTCTTATTGGTCAATATTTATTTCACGTGTCATTTTCCTACCGGTCAATATTGTAAAATGTTATTTTCTATTTTATGGTACGATGTGGTATTGGTATATAAACAGAGTATGTGTGAAATATAATGATTCATATCTCAGAGGCTGAGACTTGTGTTCTGGACTCAACTGGCTGGGCTAGACAGGGTAGTGGGACCAATCAGAACTCTAGGTCGCTCGCCCATGTTTTACGTGCCGTTGGTCCGATCGATAATACGCTTCGCTATAATCTGCAGTTCACAGTCATAACATAAACACAACGGCGATTCTAAAGTCTCGTTTGGAAAGTAAGAAGTTTATATTAACAAGAATCATAATAATTTGATCTGAATTGGAAAAAAGACTCGAAAGTCTTTTATGTACATGTTTTATACCATCTTGATAGATCACAGAGTAGGTAAGCACTCAACAACATTTGTTATGATTAAAGAAACATTGTGTTTTTGGTGTAATAGCAGTTTACAGCAACAAAAACACATAGATTAGACTTTGATATATTCTATTCCATTGAAAGAAAGTCTGAACAAGGTTGACTATCCAGTTGTAAACTAAATAGGATAATAATTTTCGGTAGAATGGTTTCATGAATATATTTCGTATTTTGAGGAAGTTGTCATCAGAGATAGATAATAGCAAGTAAACCTATGGGAATAAGATAAAACTGGACAGGCGTTTGGTTCGAGTCTAGAAATTCTTAAAACTGACGTTTGTGCGTGACGAAAATCACCTACAAATAATATAGAAAATCTGTACAAAACCCCCTTAATAGCAATTCTTCTAATGGGAAGCTGTGAACTATGTAGTCAAGATAGTTATGAGGAAGAAAAATGCTCATCAACGATGCAACGCAAAGTGGGGGATGGACTAATGTTGAAAATATGTTTCAATGAGGGATGGTGAGACTTCTAAGGTAAGTGAAGTGGTCAACGCACTCAACCATTTCGCTCATTGTCATTAGTTTAGGCATTGGCGCAGATCAACCCTTTATCACTTAAAGGGGAAGACACGCATCCCCAATATGCAAAATCTTGTATTTTATCAGTATCTTCACCAAACACGACTATCATTATGTGCCCATCCTAAATTGATGAACAAAACGTTTGGTAGGAAAAGTTAGATGAGAGAAGTGTTATTTCTAAGAGGATATCGATGAAAAAACTAAACGAAACGGGGGGACTGGCGAACACTATTTGAAGTTGACAGCACGCCATTAGCTTTGACTCGACCAATAGAGTAGTTTGTAAAGAACCTGAAGACGGATGATGTGCTACTTTGGGGTGCTTTTCAATGACAGACATTGTTACAAAATATTTCTATCTACGGAATCAAATGCTGCCTTAAGGTCAAGAAATATAACCGTCGTCAGGCATCCGTATATATATCCATATTCTAAAACCTGATGAAGAGTAAATATTTTGTCTACATATCCACGTCCAGGTTCGAGACCAACCGGGTTTTCGTAGGTTTGCTTTTTATGGAACTTAGTTAAGCATCGGATGATTATTACAATACATTGGTCAAACTGATTCCCCTGTGATCATCAAAGGATAATTTTTGTTGTTACAAACTGGGACCATCAGGGATCGACACCAGCTAGATGAGATTATGTTTAGCCTCCGAAATTCAGATATCTCAATCAACCTAACTGCCAAAACTGGACCACCATTCTAAATGACCTCCAGGTTAATCTTTTAGAGCCCGCTGTTCTCCCTCGCTTTAGATTAGGTGTAGCGTTTTCAACCTAGAACAAAACAGCATACGTCAGTTCATGGTGAGGGCGAACATAGTAATAATTTCACAAAATTGAAGGAAATATATCATGATAAAATGCATACTCAATATAATGTCAGACCAACGAAATTCGAGCACTTAATAAACATGCGTGCCGATATGATACCAAAGGGCAAAGCCAATTACAAATACCAACTAGAATTTAGCACGCATTTATACGCACGTAATTATACGAAACAATACAACAAAAGTGTTTGGTTTTTGACTTACAGGTACAGTGGATGATACAAGAGTACCCCTAAGAGGAACAACCCGATTCGTACGGAACAAATCTGCAATAATATGTTCAGCTTCTTCAGTTTTGCCGGCACCAACAAGATATCTTGGAGACTCAGGCAGAAACTAATATTTGAAAATATTACGAAGGAGAATTTTAAAGTAATTTAGCGAATGGGATAACCTGAGGTAATGATTCAACACAAATAAAAGTTTACAAGCACATAACTACAGAGCACTGATATTTAGAAAATCAGGTTACTTCAAGGTGGGAAAAAAATATAATCAACCATGAGAGTGTTAATTAGATTTATAATATATTTTTTGCACACGATAATTTATTAACCATCAATCAATAATATCACTGAAGTGTATGATATAAATTTACGAAATACAGTACCAAACTGTAAATTATTAGAGAGATTAGTTAACTTATGTATAGATCATTCAAGGTTTTACAGGGATGAAAAAATCAGTTAGAGAATTAATGGAAAACTATCCTATATTGGTTTGGGTGATGCCACTAGTTAGCAAATGAAATTAGACTTTTTTAACTGTCATTATGTTATCACTAACCAAATGAATTTGGAAAGAATTATTTTAATTTTACATGATTTTTTTATTTTTTATGGAAGTTACCTACTGTTCAGCAGTAATGACCGTTTCGCAGTTTTGTGAAGATGTTTGCCTTGTATAATACAATTTCCGATAAGGACCTGAATGAATTTACGAATAATTAATTAGTTCTCGACAAGTTACTATAAGAATGATTAGATTCTGAAAGTCGTTCAGGCTTACTAATTAAGATGAAAATATGTACTTACTATCTGTCAGCTCCCAGTGATCTTTCACAATGAATATTGTTCCCAATTCTGAACGAATTTCTAGTAAATCAAGGATTTGAACATCTATGCTGTCATATTAAAGAAATTCGTCATATAAGATTATTTATCCATCACAACCTGTACTAAAAAAATGAATGCTAACTGGTTACTACACTTTTTGTTAGAGATTTGTAGGACTAAACTGGTCAATCTCTGTTAGTTTTCGACTAACTGACTAAATACTTTAATAATGTTTGTACTTATATCTTGTTTATGACTCAGCAGTTAGTGAAAATCAGGACATATTTCGAAACTAATATCCATCGCTTTACTCACTAGGGTATTATTCTCAAGTTTAGTAAACCACCAGAGCTGCTGTTCGTTCAACAGGTAAGTTTTCATTAGAGTTTGAAATTTCGCACTATTGATTGATTCCTAAGACATTAACAGAGACTGACCCATTCTATTCCAAAGATAAACAGCAGGAAACTCAAAGTTTCAACAAAAGAATCACAATCTAGATAACTTCAAGAAGAAATAACCAGTCACATGATTACTCACAATACGAGTTTAATGAATGCTGATCAATTTAGTAAAATCTGAAATAAATATATCTCAAATTTAGATAAAATGGTATCTTACCCTCAATAAAAATAAGAAAATCAATAGTGGTAAGGCTGAAACAAACACCAGCCATCGCCAGCCAAATCTTGGCAGAATAAGGTATGCCAAACCAACTTCAAATGTGCTTCCAAAAGCCCAGAATATCTAGACGTTAATATGTCAAGAAAAAACCATAATACATAAGGAATTTAGAGAGGCAAAATATAACCTCTCAGTGAAATTAATTGAATAAATGCAAGACAAAACTATTTCATGATAGTTTTCATAGTAATATAACTGGTCAAAGTGGGAAGGAAAACGATATATGATTACTTAGTCAATAGTTTAAGTAAACATATTAAGGAAGCTCGAAAATAGTTAGTTAGCTTCAGTAACCATAAGCACAATAAAAGAGTAATATACAAACCTTCAAAGGCAATCGGCTAATTACTGATAAGTACTGACAAAATAAGATAATACTCTGAATGATTTGTTAGTGTAATGACGGCAGCTAGATAATGATTGGCAGATGAAAAGAGAGCAAAGCAGGTAAACTTAAATTAAAAAGAAAAACTGTAGTATATCTAATTAACGGAAATATAGTGGGGAAAAACATACCACGTTTCGCACTTATTCTACGAATGATTTCAAATTATTGTCTCAGTCAGTCAGTCAGTAACAACATAGAACATCGTACGTACGTACATCAGTTCGAGTTGCCATACCACATTAGCACAGAGACGCAGTTGTCGATTCAAATCCCCTAGTGGTAGAGGTAATAAGAGTATAAGTAGTAATCGGGAAGATTAGGGTTTGCAGATGTTATTTAAAGAGTATAATCCAGTGAAATAAATTTGGAAAGAGGAAAAAAGGGACATGAAGAATTCAGAAGATTAGAATTTGGGAGAACACAAAGGGTGGATACACCTGCGCCATTGCAAACGGTTTGAGCCATGTCATTCAGGGTCTCTAACCATCGGTTGCTATCATCTCGTGGTCCCCAACCAGGTAGTCTACACCTACCAACATGACTCAGTTCACTTGTCAGTGACTTCATGGACTTGTGCTATGTTTTGGTCTGGCCGCCTCTAGCTTTCTTACAACCTACTCCTATACCACTGAACATAGCACGTCGAGGTAGTCGGTCGTTGGGCATACATAACACGTGTTCGAGCCATCTCAACTGATGAAGTTTCACTACGTCATCATTTGATTTGCCATCCTTACCTAGTACCCGTTTCCTAACAACTGTATTACTTACTCGATGGTCCCAGAATATACGAGCAATGTTTCAAAGACACCTATGATCGAATACTAGTAGCCTACGAATATCCTCTACTCTTACCGGCCACGTTTCACTGCCATAAAGTAGGACGGAACGAACTGCTGCGCAGTAAACCCGTCCTTTGGTTGATAGACGGATATCTCGCCTACGCCATAAATGACGCAAGTTGGCAAAAGCTAGTCGAGCCTTCTGTATCCGTGCTGAGATTTCGTCACACACCAGACCACAAGGGCTGATGAGACTCACAAAATAAGTGAAGTGGTCGACACACTCAATTACTTCACTCCCTATCATTAGTTCGGGTGTCGATACAACCCAATCCTGAAACAACATTTTGCATTTCGAGGGGGAGAATCGCATTCCGAACATGCTTGCATTGTTGCTTAGAGTGGTCAGAAGACTCTGTATTTTGTCAGCGTCTTCACCAAATAGAACTATGTCATCGGCATATTCCAAGTCAACAAGTGAATCATTGTCTAACAAGAAACTAAACTCAGAAGGAAGCTGATAATACATACAACCTGATACTGCTAAACACTTGCAGGAGTATAACACGGTGTTTTTTTTATAAATGTAGACCAGTAACAAAACATTTTTGTATTTCATTTGAAATATAGGATTGATGGTAAGGAAAATTGTTAGAAGTTAACTGGAGATAAACATTTAAGTAATATGTTATGTTACTAAGCAAGACAAAGATATTATGTGAGAAATGAATAAAAAATTGTGTTTTATAGAGATAATATGACCGCATTTGACGAACTTATTAACCATTAGTTTATACTAACAGAATGACATCCGTAAGTCCAAATGTTATCCCACAGTAAAACCAATCGAGATTCTAAAAGGTTGGTCAAAATTAATTGAAATAAACTATTTGTTTCTTTTTATCTTCCTACTTCATAGAGAAACGTCACGACAAATAAATGGAATAACAACTTACATTGAAAGCTAACAGAACTTTGGCCCGATGCTTAACGGTCAGAAATTCGGAGAATAACGTGAAGCTAAAAATCAGATGAACATAAATAGGAAATTAACAAACTGACATAGGAGTGACATTATAATGAAAAACCACGGAAAGTCCACGGTCACTTAGAAAAAATTAGACGAATTGTGGTATACGCTTATTTATGACTAAGTGGTTGGCCTACGATGATCAATTCAGAATACCGGACAAACCAAACTCGTTATAATCCGTCTGACAAGTACAAAAGATGTTCAAATTCTAGAATAAATATTGACTACGTTGAGACTGAGGGGAACTCCACGCAAATTCGTGCAGAGACTTAATAAAAGTTTTTACTGGTACCCAGGATTAATCAGCTAATGTCAACGCTCTGCAACTTTATATGAAGATTTAGTTACAATAGTCAGAATGAAAGAATAGTACGTCGTTATTACTCACGAAATCAACCCACCCAAATAATATGATTCATTTAAGAATTCCAAATTCGTGTACTCGATTTTGAACCACACCGTGAGTAAGAGGGTTATTGATACTAAATAGATGTCCAAAACAAAGCGGTGGAGACGGGACTTAAAGCCGCATTTCAATGAAACAGATTCAAGTGTCCAAACTATTACGTCAATGCTCTTGATCACAACAGTGGCAAAATGAATACCGGTGTGATCGATGGCCCCCGAATGCCCTGGTTTGGCCGAGAGTGGGATGGGCCCGCCCTCGCTCTTGAAATGCTATCAAACGACCACGCGTATACAGCCTTTACCAGGCAAGTCCTACTCCCTGCCTTCTCGTGACGGGGGTGTTGTTTACGAAAATGAGAGAACGAAAAGCGAATGTCTGGGGCCCTAACCGGATCCAAAACCAATGGTGCACATGGGCTCCAGTATCCTGAGGGAACAAATGGCGTATGAACCAAACGTCGGCCACCGGCTACCATGGAACCGCATTTCCTCACGATGCCCAACTGCATTGTGGGTCAGGTCTTTAGGTCGAGGGCTTGAGGTGTGTACCCCTAAGAAAACCACCTGCTTTGGTCTGGGCACCCGGGCAGTATCACGGCCCACACACAAATGATGAACTCTCTATATCTATGGAAACTACTTTTCTTGCTTCGACTAACAATCAAATGATCCAGATTATTATTATTATTTACTACGTCATTATTCATCCTCTTTTACTCCTACTGTCTATACTTATTTTTACGGCTTATACAGCAGCTCGTCTATGGTGGAAATTCGATTCTATCTAAACGTTCTCGAGTCACTGTCCGGTTGAAAATTGTATGTTACCACCGAATATGAGTACTGAAGCAGTTTTTCTGAAACCACGTGCACCATTCAAACTGGCTGCCTTCAACGTTCGCACACTTATGCAGGTTGGACAACAGATAGGGCTGGCTATGTCTTTGGAAAGTCTTAATATCGATGTTTGCTGTCTATCTAAGACCCGTATTCAAGACTCTGGTGAAGTACTACAAATTCGCTCTCCATCTGTCGCTTCAAAAAGCTTGTTTTACGTGCGCTTATCCGCGGACCCTGTGGCATCTTCGTCTGGTCTTGCTGGCGTTGGTGTCGCACTAAGCGCTAGAGTTGAGGCAGCACTAATCGATTGGCTCCCCATTAACAGTCGGTTATGTGCTGTTAGATTAGAGAGTTCCATCAAAGTGAGAAGAAATCGTCGTGAGAAACAATGACTTTTCGTCATCTCCGCCTATGCTCCGACAGATTACAGCCCGGATGCAATCAAAGATGAGTTTTACCACCAGTTATCTGTTCTTCTCCAGAAAGTGCGTTCGACAGATATTGTAGTACTAGCCGGAGACTTGAATGCTCAGGTCGGGCGTCTAGGCTCAGAAGAGAGTCGTTTAGGTGGCCGATGGGGACTTGTCGGTCGCAGGACAGATAACGGGGACCGTCTACTGCAACTGTGCACAGACCACAACCTTTTTCTGGCTAGCACTAACTTTCGGCACAGTCATCGCCGATGTGCCAACTGGCGTCCTCCCTCTCAATCTCAAGCCTGGACTCAGATTGATCACATCGCGATCAGCTACCGCTGGCGTGGTTGTGTGCAAGACTGCCGCTCCTTTTGGAGTACCTATCTGGACTCTGACCATGCCTTGGTCTGCGCCAATCTTGCCTTACTTTTCAGTGGCCAACGAAGTGACCGCCATCAACGGATTGATATTAGCAAGCTGGTTGCAACTTCTGTTGCTAGTAAGTATCGAACCGAGCTAGCTTCTAGGCTAACTACCATTCCACCGAAAAGTATAGATAAGCATTGGTTGCAATTGCATGACGCCATGAAAACGACGGGTACAGTCAACTGTGGGTTCGCGAAACGTCCCGCTTATAAGCACTGGGTTTCTTCTGGTTCCTTACAACTCATTGAAGCCCGTCGGTCTACTCCGGGTGACCGTGAGTTTGACCATAAACGAAGGATGTTACGTAAGGAAATTGGGCAAAGCTTGCGTAAGGACCGAGAAGCCTGGTGGTCGGAGCGTGCTAATGAGCTGGAAGCAGCAGCTGCATCTGGTAATTACCGGAAGCTCTTCCAACTCATCCGAGCCACTGGCAGCAAGAAGTCTGGTGTGAGTGAAACGATCTGCGAGGATGATGGGATGCCAATCACTAACATCCATCGACGTCTTGGACGGTGGGCAGAATTTTTCGAAGGGCAGTTCAACTGGCCTGCTGCTCCGGCAACATCGGTCAGACTGTCCTGTCCTCCATGGCCGGTGACGACTGATCCACCAAATGAGGCGGAAGTCCACAAGGAACTCCAACTCTTGAAGCGCTACAAATCACCTGGCTCATATGACTTACCTCCGGCTCTTTTTAAAAATGGTGGTGACTTTCTGATTAAGGAATTGACGACGTTGTTTACAAAGGTCTGGGAGCTCGAGAGTGTATCAATGTCATGGAATGAGTCGATAGTTGTCCCTATCTTTAAAAAGGGTTCACGTCGTTCCTGTAACAACTATCGGGTGATAAGTCTACTTCCGATTGCGTCCAAGCTATTGGCTTCCGTCATACTTCGTAGGTTGTTCAAAACCCGAGAAAGGTTGAATCGCGAGGAGCAGGCTGGGTTTCGTTCAGGTTGAGGATGTATTGACTATATCTTCACCGTCCGCCAAATGTTAGAACACCGTCATACTTATCAAAGGCCAACAATCGTAGTGTTTCTTGACATCAGGGCTGCCTTCGATTCGTTGAATAGGACTGTTCTCTGGGATTGTCTATTGAAGAAGGGTGTGCCTGAGAAGTTTATTAACATCCTAAAAAGCCCTATATACAAACAACTGAGGCAGAGTGAGGGCATACAACCACCTCGCTCCATTGTTCCATTCGAGCAGTGGGGTTAGGCAGGGTTGCCCAATCTCACCATTCCTCTTCAACTTTGCCATCGATGACATTCTGGAAACAGCTCTGATGAATGTAAGTAATGGTGGTGTGGATCTGTTGCCTGGAGAAAGACTTCTCGACCTTGAGTATGCAGATGATATTGTCTTACTGTGCGATAATGCCCAAGCCATGCAATCCGCGCTGAATAAGTTGGCAATCAGTGTCCGCAGGTACGGTATGAGCTTTGCACCTTCGAAGTGCAAAGTACTTCTACAAGACTGGCAGGATTCTAATCCTGTACTCACTCTGGATGGTGAGCAGATAGAAGTAGTTGAGGAGTTCGTGTATCTAGGTAGCTGCATAAGTGCTGGTGGGGGTGTGAGTGATGAGATCAATGCACGTATAGTGAAAGCCAGTTTGTGTATTTGGGTGACTGCAGAAGTGCTGGTAGTGGCGTGAGTGATGAAATCAATGCCAATCTGGGCCATTACTGGCGCCTTCATGATGTTAGTCTGGCTGTAAAAGGTCGGATCTACAACGCGTCGGTGAGAGCAGTTCTGCTCTATGCTTGTGAAGCCTGGCCTCTCCAAGTTGAAGATGTTAGACGACTCTCTGTGTTCGATCATCGTTGTCTCCGAAGGATTGCTGACATCCAGTGGTAACACCATCTTAGTAATGCAGGGGTCCGGCATCGTCGGTTCTGGCACAGCGACGATAGTTCAATTGGTGACACTATCTTGAAACATTGACTTCGGTAGCTTGAAGATATCTTACGAATGTCGTCTCAGAGAGTTCCACGTCGTGCACTATTTGACGACACTTGGACTGGTTGGAAAAAGCGGAGAGGTGGTCAATATATGACATGGTGTCGAGGTATGAAAGAAAGCTGCAAACGGCTGGCTTCTGCTGGTCCTTCGCGACTCTCTGGTTGGGGTCCTAGAGACAGTGCAACACAGTGGCTAGATACGTTATCAGGAATGGCTCAGAATAGAAGCCAGTGGCGATCCTGCTGTAACCTTCTTTTACTTTCTTCACTTAAAAATTGGTTGTTTCTTCCTTAACTGAAAGATTTCTTCTGATTGTACCTTCCCGTTTCCCCCATTATTACACTACCTTACACTAATCTGTTAGTTATTGTTCTTTTTTTCTCTTCGAATTCTCATTGTTTTGTGTGGCGCATTTATATTTGGTGCCCCCTTGTACCGATATTTATGTGTTCAAATAAATAATAATAATAATAGATGTGTTCATTCGACTCTAATCACCACGCCTATTGTACACAACCACAATCGGTCTAAAGCGTTGGCATACCATTGATCACAATAAAGAAACTTCATTGGTAGTTATTAATAATAAATAATCATAATACTTATACAAACTATCTTGAATGCGGGTAGCAGTTACAAGTGTCATGGGATACTTATTTTATTTCAGTAGAGTGGTCGATAAAAAGTGTCTAGAAACCCTGATAAGATTATCATAACGTTGACATTATCAATAAGAGTAGTGATAAAAATGTTATAACTCTAGAAAACTGATATGTTTAACACAAAACAGGTAAACTGAAATAGTGTGGAAAGAAAATTTTTCATTTGGTGGATAAGATAATTGGTATTAAGAACAAAGAATGACTTATCACAAAAAAAGTTCTTCATAGATAAGTGACATATATATCAGTAAGAACTAAGTCTAATTTAACCAAATTAATCCAAAACATACGTTGAGTAAATTAATTTCATTTTGACTAACCACATTTTACTTCAAGTTAGTGAACAGGAATTAGTAAGCCTAATTAATATCCCATATGCGAAATACATCAACTTACAAGATATTTTTGGTTGCTTTAGCAAAGTATCACAGTTAATAACCTTACTGTTAAGCTATTCCCACTACAATTAGGATTAATATAAGAATAAGTAAATCATGTACATGCTGAATTCATTTAAGTTGAACTTCATCCGGGTATTCGATTGGTTAAAATTTCATTTCCCTAAATCAAATATTTTTCAAAAACATTAAGCCATTTTATATTTTGCAAAGTACTGATATTCATCTGGTAAATATGACCTGTATAATAAAGTTATTACTGAATAATAATCTCCTACTCTAGTGTCAGTTAAAAACCACGTTGATATATTATCAAGTGTAGGTCAAAAAGCTTCTGAATTTTCTACGAATTCGAAAGGCAGTTTAAACATTTGTAATTCAAATCACTTTAGTGTTTTGTGTTAATTCATGTATTTTTTAACTATTAGAGTGTAGAGAGTATACACGTTAAGTAAAATTGAACATTCGTTAAACACAAGAAAATGATCGTGTAACCATCGGTAATTGGAAATTTACGAAATTCATTTAAGAAAACTAACCTGCTATTTCCACCACCAATAGCGAATCCGACCAGAAGTCGTAATATTATGACCCAAATATAAGTGGGGGCACAACTTGTGATGATGCCGAAGTAAGTTATCATTGATAAAACAATCAATAAAGTCTGTTAAAGAAAATAAAGTTCTTAGTTATATAAATTATTATGACCGATACTAGTTATGCAAATCGAAGTAGTAGAGTAACACTGAACACAAGAGTGGAAGCGATGCAAGGAAACACCAACCAAACTCTTACTAAGCCCCCATAGACTTTTCGACTAGCACTCAATTAGTGAGAATACAATAGAAAGTAAAATGATTATTTTACGTTCCAGCTGCACGGAAAAATGCGTGGGTATTCACAGGATTCTTTGATATACTTGATCAGCCGTTAAGAATGGAAGTTTCGTGGACCATGAATCAACGGTACGGGTGTGATTATAAAAAAATAATGTTTTGACTGATTTATGTCAAATTTCTAGAGAATAATGCATTATTCAACATAAGTAGAATCAACAGATGAACGGTGATGCTCTAAAATTTACATGAAGGAGAACGATTTTGAATAGGGAACGATGGCCCTTAAGCTAGCTCTTTTTAAATATAAGACGAGATATATCGAACAACAGTTCAAAGTTAGGAAGTTCCATAGTACTACATAGTAGTGCTGCTATTTTGCTACAACTATGTGCCCTTGAATACAAAACTGAAAAATTTGACTACCAGCGACTAGTTTCCCGTGGTTTTAGCATTAATTTAAACAACAAACCCAATTCTTGAACAAATAACTTCCCAAAAACTACCGACTTTAGGATACTTTCTTAATAAAAGTATAATATCAAGCATTAAAGCGTACGAATGGAGAATACTAATAACGAATGAAAACAACAGGTTCATATAATACTAAGACTAATGTCAGTCATTCATATAATTAAATATTATTTTTATGTCTGAAATAAGACAGGTACACTGAATCTTTAAATTGATACACACTGAGTGTCGATACATAAACAATTAATACTTATAATATTCGATTGATAGGTTGCTTTTCCAAATATGTACTGATAAAAATCACAAAAATTCAACAAGAGGATGGAAACAAATCCTAAGCGTGAAGATTCCCACAACTAATATACTGAGTTTCCGTCAAAATAATAATCGCAATAATAATAATAATAATAATAATAATAATAATAATAATAATAATAATAATAATAATAGTAATAATAATAATAATAATAAACAATAATAGTAATAATGGATCTATGGAAAATCTGATAACAGATTCAACTATCTGAATATTAAGTTGTGAATTTAAATAATTTCTATATCCTGAAAGCTTACCGGCCAACGACCAAATCTGTCTGCGATAAAACCCCATAAAGGAGCTCCAAATAAAAACCCGGCAAAAACAACCTACAACATATCAAAGACCAAAGCAATTAAACTTCAACGAAATCACGGTCAATGGTTTATTACACCCAACTGTCCCAGTTTCTTTTATTATATGGAAGGTAGTCTAATCATTGAACACAAAAATATACAAAACTTAGATCCAAAAAAGTACCTGGCATTCTTCCGAAACTTAGCACATTGGAAATCCGTAATTTTGGTTAACATTTACGGGCTATGATTCTAACCGTACGAATATGACATACATGGGCAACTAGAAATCAACATAAAGGTTCGCCAGGCTAATTGTAGATATAATGTTGTTACAGTAATCTGATGAGATATAAGTGGGACCAGCTGAGACAAATTTAACCGAAAAAGAGATTAGTTATAGAAAAATGAGACTACCTAAAGAGTAACACTGGATATCCGAATTAAATTGTACCAAATAATAAAAAACGACAACTGGCTCGTAACTTCACAACGGATCCAGTTAATAAATGATATTACTGTCTGAACCACTTTAAAAAGATTAGGATAAACAATTATAAAGCAAGCTACAGCGCACGGCCTTTTGTGGAAGGTTTTTGACGTGTTAGCTCCGTTCTTCAAAGGGCCTTACCACCGAAGACGGGAATCCGTGAGGTAAGGTGGGGTGTGACATTTTTTGGGTTGACCTTTTCTAGCCCCTTCCTTCCTTGTGAGAAGGCGGCATCGCTGCAGATGCTGGTTATCAGAGGGGAACACCTTACTGCTGTGACACCCTTCTACAGTCAGCAGTGCGAATTCGTCTTCAGATATTGAGTTGCTGCTTTTAGTTTTACCGTTCTCCAATCGACCTGCCTGGTGTGGTAGAATCTACAGGAACATATGTTTCAGCCAATATAACTCGATTGGGTCAACACGATAGGCCAGCCCGACCACCACGTCAAGGTAGCAGCTACGATCGGGGATCAACTCAACAACTTGCAGATTGAAGATCAAGTCGAATTTCTCATCTCGTGTCTGAATAGTGAATTTATTTTAACTCCATTTATAATTGTACTGTCGAAGCTCAAGAACTAGAGAGACATTCTAGTTGATAATGTTCACAGACTGAACGGTGAATACGCTATCCTGTGGTCACATAAAATCCAGAGGTTGAAGCCAATCTGCCTCTAATATGTAAATTCACTGTTATTTCAATATGATTGACTGTGCATAGCTGTTTTTTTAATTTCTCCACGTAAGGGAAAGAAACAAAATCCGCTACTGATTATTTTTCTTAGGTGTTTGAATGGATTACTCGTGGGAAAATTTTGAATTCACACTTAGTCAAGTGCACTTTGTCTGCATCAAAATTCTTCTTATCTGTTGTAAATACATCTTAAATTGATTTTAGGCGTCTTAATACTACGAATTCAGTTTCTACTTGAATAGGTTAGCAATCAGATGTCATTCACTGTTTTAATCTCGGTAAATAAATCGCTAGCAAACAGCACTAGAGAAGTGAATACTGATATGTGCGGATGTGTATTACTCATAAATAAACTGTATAAATATATATAAACTTAATGATCGACACCAATTTAAGTACGATTCATCTGTTCACTATTATTAAGCTGAAGTTATCTGAAAAATAATCGCAAAAATATCCAGACTCTTGATATATCAACTGTCAGAACGATTTCCATTTTAACACATAAAAAGTTCCTTACTCTCTCGCTGGTTGTAAATAACAAGTTTTGCATACTCACTTTGATTATAAGAAGGATCACCAGAAGTTTTTATTCAAAAGAACTGAGGCCGCTTATTGACCTGACGTAAGATACTGCTTTTGACTCACACATCCATCATTGCTAAAGTCTATTTTCTAGTAATAAGTAAATGGAATGTACAGTAAAAAAGGCTGTTTAACCATTGTTTTCCTATTAGCTATCTTATCACTTAATGGTACGACTGTTGAGGAATTCGCTGTTAGGCTAACTGTTTTCTTGGAAGGAAGTTGCTACGAGCAAGAACTTACACGAATCTTACAATTTGAAAACACTCGCTTCCGTCAGTAGGAATAAGACATCCCGGCATTTTTATTTTTTATCCCATTGATTCAGAATCAGTAAATGTTAGTTTCTAGCTAAAAACAGATGTTCAGCAATACTGAAGAAGCGATCATAAGACAAAACTGTAGTTGGTTTGGTTTCCTCTTGAAGTCCACCAACGTACAGAGGACTTTAAAAAGCGAATAAGCTTGTAACTTTTCTGAAATTCTTAAAGAGGTAACTCGTACTTACTGTGGTTATGGCAGCGACTTGTCCTGACGACAGAAGCCAATAACATCGTAATGCTGGACCAAGTACTGAAAGCAGTAGCATTTCCATCGCATCTGCAGCCTACAGGTAGAAGTTTGATACGTTTAATAAGGTTTGTTATCTTAATTAGCAGAATGAACAATAAAGTCAAGTAAACCATAAACCCTAATTATTCATTGGTGTCAAGCTATTTAGCATTTAGGGAGAAGGGGCACTGTACTTAATTTGTTCTAGCAAAGTGATAACAGTAACTGGAGATTTCAAAGTTAATTTTACAGATATTTTTATCGGTCCGAAATGTTGAGGGGCCATGATAAATTTGTTTTGAACTTATGGCAAAATGCTACCATGATGGTACATAATGTGATTTTTTCAATACAATACAAAAATGAAAAGGTTTATGCAACTAATCAGAAAACGGGTAAACAGAAATTAACAGAATCTTGCACAATTGTAACCTACAGGTTACCAAAACACAAAGAGTCTAAGAAGGTGTTTATACAACTTAGTGGTTTAAGGGCTTGACTCGTTCGTAGTTTGAATGCGCATACATTTGAGACCACGAAAAACAAAGAACCGAGTTTGCGTTTTCCTAATTTTTGAACTTTTCTGGAACTCCCACTGATGTTGGACCGACAAACTTCAAGTTTGATGACAAAAGGTATGCTTTCCATGTACAACTTTTACCTGTCTTCGTTTCTTTGGCAACTTACTAACTATTCTGAGTAAGATCAAAAACTGTCTTCAACGATATACAAAAACAGGGTATGCTATGGTTGAAAATTCACGTTAAACGGTTCGTTATGAATGATAAGCTCATTTTTACTTGAAATCCAATATTCCTTATTTTGATTTCTTAAGTGCTGTATTTATGAGCATGGAAGTATATTTCAAAATGAAACGAAAAATACATTTTCCTGGAAATTTTTTTCTTTAGAAAGGTAATATCAGAGATTTATGTCACAATTATTTTCTTATACACCGAAATAACTATGCGGGGTAGATACCATGAACTTTAATGCTAGACACAACGAAGACGCTTACCGATATGGCTCCACACAAAATGAAAAGCTTCAACTGAAACCTTCCAAAACCAGCTGCCTCCACAGCATCTTCAACTGTATATGTAGGGTTTGGTTTCTTTTCTGCATCTAACCCATTTTCACTGGAATCAGATTTATTCAGATCTTCTGAATCTAGTCGCGTAGATCCAACTACTTCATTTAGATTCAGTTTGTTTTCAGATTTATCAGGAAAGAGGGACTGATATACAGGAGGTGAAGAGGGATAATCCTAAGAGGGTTTATATAATTACAACTCCAGCAACAAACCATTATCTATTAACTTGAATTACGATAAAAGTTGTGGGTTTTTTGTTTGGGAGTTAGGTCCACTGCTTGATCATATTTACAATTTCAGAAGTATATCTGAAGCAACAAAAATAAAGTACTGATTTTTAAAACATTATCGAGGTGGAAGTTCCGTCAAGATTAATAGTAATAGAGCTCATTCCAGCTACATGAAAACCACCACTATAAAAAACATAAATTCAATAAACATAGGTAAACATTGAGTCCAGAAATTGTGAGTACTATGGAACACAGGACAGCAGATAGATAAGACTGTATTAATGAATGATAATAACTCGTCTTGATGTTCAAGATAAGAGGTTGGTATCAATTGAGTCATCAATATACATATCCTTCGGAAAACATTTAATGCTCGGATTATTGTTAAGCCGGAAAAATGTTTAGTACTAGCTATTTCAGATTTTCCGATGGCCAAGCCGACCAACCCGTGGAAAAACCCAACCATAACTACTGTCTTGTTATTGTTGTGTTGCAAGGTGACATGCAGAACAGCACTGCATAAATAATCCTAATGTGTGTACTCAAGTCTAGAACATTTTATGCTGAGATAACGTGGGGGCACTGGTGACGTCACGTTTAGATCATACATCGCTGTCTCTGCAACGCATTGACAAGGTTATATGTCATCAATTTCTTAGTATACGAGATATGACACTCTTATGGTTAAAAACTACCATAAATTGGAGTCGGAAGCATCTTTCCCTTAGCAAACTGCCGATTATCATGAATAAGAAACTCTGGAAAACAGGAAGAAAATTTGAAGTACATTATACTTTTAGCCTACTAATAGGGAAAGAACTGAACGACTCGTCTCTTCCACCTCATAAGGAGATTTACGATGTCAGTACGAAAAAGAGCCAAAAATTTGGTTGGACGGCCTTACCTCTTCCCGCCTTTATACTATGATCCAATGTGATTTGATAGTGCTTACAAATGGTTCAAAATGGTTGTGGACGGAAGAGAAGAAGCTTTTGCTTAACAGGCTTCCGTGTCTAGTAGCAGGGGATCACGAATACCTTCCAGTTTCGAATTAAAAACCCAATATATTTGAAACGAGCTAGTAAATTGAAGTCGACATATCATAACTAACTAGCGTTTTAAAACTGTTCCAAACGTCTTGAATCGTCCATTTAGGTTATTCTAGACAAGCTATTACCCTATTCTTAAACAGAAACTAATTTTCTTTCAAGATGGTTAGTGAAGATTTCACATGGCAATGAGTTTAGTAGGTACTGTATAACACAAGCCCAGAAATACTTTGATTGCTCGTATCAAATCCTGAAAGCAGAAAATAAATCATTTATAAAGACGGAAGACGAACCAGAGAAATGATTTACAGATGCCACAGATATTCATGATATAAAGAAGAGTTTGTCTGTAACACAAATATAATCAAAGTATACCAACCCAGTCAAATCATAAATCGAAGATGAATTGGTTTAAACGCATATTAAGAATGCTTTTAACGTGTTGAGAAATGTGCAGCGGTACATCAATCCCAAAAATAATACTCCTGTTAGTTTTCACAGGAAATCAGTAGTTGAAGGCGATCATTCACGCACCCATATCAGATGACGAGTAGATATGCCGTGCTACACATCCCTCCCAACTGTTAGTCAGCCTAGACCAAACACTTCTCAACATATCGATAGCCTTCCAAATACATCTTCGAACCCTAACATTCCTTACTTTTGAGTTGCCTGAGTTGGTATACTTCGAATATAAACGTGTTATGTGTAAAGACGTTGTCAAACTCCGAATGTCTGTGGCGTTCTTAGTGGTGAACCTGATGTGATCAAATACACCAAACAATGAACTGTGAGTCTGTTCCTTGGTGGAACACTGAATGTCGTTTCCTAAAATTTATTCTTACATATGGTGATATTCAGCTGGTATTGTTCATTTGAATCTTCCCATTGATGAGCGGTACTGAGTTCGAGCCTCGGAGTGGACGTCAGCTCGGAGATGCAGGTACATCCAGCTGACGGGCCTCAAGTAAGACGAAACGCAAATCCTGGATTTCACTGCCAGCCACCATCCAACTTTGCTTATAATGTAGTGATATTGTTTTAATATTTTCGGATAATTTTCCCATCCATTTGTATATTTTATCTTCAGTATGACGGGACAGACATTTAAGCTGACTTCCACAAGAATAGCACGAGAGACCCAAGTGCGCAATTCCTCGCAGTAGTGAAGACACTACCTCGAGATTTCAACAGGTACGTCACACTCAGTATGTCTGCTAGTAATTTTTCGTAAGCTTACGACACTTCAAAGAAGGATGTTCACAAATTTGAAGGCCTGATCAACCGAAAAAGGTCAGACCAACTGTTTCACAACAGGGCTCAGAAACGGAAATATTGCCGCAAACGCGAACGGTCGCCAGCCAAAGAACCTTTGACGATAGCCTGTTTGGACATTTCTTCTTCTCTTAGCTTCCCCAACAGGTGCAGGTGGTCCTCGTTTCATTTCAAAGTAACGCCGTATACGAACTGGCTGCATCTGCCGATTGGATTCTGGAGAATACCAGAACTTCCAGAGTCGAGGTTTATTCTATTGAATAAAAGTTCCAACACGAAAAGGTGTCACAGACCTCTGCCATACTCTCAATCGTCACCTTAATATTCGTCCCGGTCGTAGACGCTCAAAAAAGGTCGTCACGAAATAAATCTGTCTCATGACCACGATAGACAGGTAATCGTGATTATTGCTGGTAGAAAAAGTATGGTAGCTCTTCTAGAAATTATAGGAAACTCTTCAGTTTTTCCGGCTCCGAACAATCCGACACTAAAAACCTCTCTTTACTTCCTAGTCGGCACGTGTTAGTGGTATCCGTAGCCGGCGGATTCAGCTGTTTGTTGTGTAGCACAGGTATAATGACGACAGTTCACTGTCTCGTGGACACTGGCACAGAATCAAGCGTTTTCTCCGCAAATTCTAACGACCGTAACCTTAAGTATGTCTTCAACTTACAGGCGACACTTGATAAACCGATTGACACACAAGGTAAGCGATTTATGTATCTTAACATATGTTTACACAAACCCATTCACTGAATCTTCTTTGTTGCAGATTTTTCTAAGCCAATCATTGGTATGGACCTGCTACAACGCTGTAATATGCCGATCGACACGCGCAAGCATTGCTTTGTAAGTGGCGACACTAGGGTGACCATTTTTGTGCCTTCCTTTTCCGGTTGTTAATCATCCCCATTAACTGTTGGGCACATAATCGATCCATCATATCAACAGATACTCGATAGATACTCTGATCTGTACTGAACTTGAATAAAATCAACATGTATAATCAACAGTGTTACACATGATATCACGTCTACAGGATCAACTGTATTCACGAAAGTGAGTCGACTAACTCCTGAAAAGATGAGATTGGACAAAAACGGATTCGACAGCATGATAGACTTAGGAATCATTCGGCCACCGAAAAATTCACTTGTACTGCCTTCAGTTAGTCAGTTACAGCGTAGGACCTCATTTGCTTACCAAGACGAAGGTCGGATTCACAAGAGTAGTTAACTTCAGATAGACAACACACTTCTGGGGCAAACAATGTAATGGAAGAAGCCTTGTTTCGTATAACGTTCTTAAACACTTTCCGAGGAATCGGCCTTCCGAAATTTGTACATTTTTAAACAGAAGACACTGATATCCAGCACAGTTTATCTTCGATAACCCTGAAACTACGTACCAAGCAGATGGAAACGGATAAGGAAACCTTACTGTGTGATATGTCTGCAGTTTGAGATCATCCAATCGTGTCAAAATATTGTCGACGCAATGTCTTCAATACGTGTCACAAGCCTTCTTGTCCAGGTATTCATGCAACCATCAAGCCCATATCAGTACGATTTTGTTGGCCTAGTTTTAACAAGGACGTGAGGGATTGGACTCGCCGCATGAAATCTAAAATGATTAGACATAAAAAATGACTTTGTGTTGTGTTAGAACTCTCGTCACTCGTTTTGACCATGTTTTTCTTGATTGGTCAGGACCCTTGCCGGATATAAGTGGATACTCCTACCTCATAATGTTTTAGGACAGTACCACATGGTGGCCAGAAGTAGTACTCATCAATGACATTACTATTGAAAGAGTAGCCCGAGCCTTCTCTCAGTGATGATTAGCAAACATCGGCCGCCCTTCAACTAATAATATAAACCTGAACATTTTCTTTATCGGACTGGACTACTAGGAATCAAAAAATTCTGAATTACCGCCTACCAACCACAAGCAAACGGGTTGACAGAACGATTTCACCAACAGCTAAAAGCCTCACTCTCAGCTGCAAATGTTTCACAATGGGTTGATGGACTTCCACTCGTTTTGTTTAGTACTCACAATGCAGTGAAAGCTGACGTTGGATACACTGAAGCATAACTCGTCTACGAAACTACACTTTGACTTGGAGAGGCTTTGTGGATTTTTCATTTTCTTTGGTGATTATGGATGTAATCTCTCACACGATCAGGCTTACAAACTCCATGGGTCCAGTTAAGCCTGTTTCCACTTAAGCCCAATCAACTAACGTTCTCATTCGAGCTGCCTTACGACATAGTACATAGGTTTTTGTACGTCACGATTCATTACGACGATCCCTGTGAATGAAAAACGAAATACCCTTCAAAATTCAGCATCGTAAACCTAAACACTAAATCACAGATATGGACGGTACTAACGATAACGTCATCACTGATGATGTTAAGGTCTAGTGAATAGAAGGAGGCATTAATATCGATGATTTCCATCCAATACACTCTGACGACACGAGTCTGACAATCAGTTATAAAGAGACTTCGCTGGTATCTAAAAATCGGCACAAGAAATGCTTTCTGGAAGTAGAGTCAGTTTTTCAAAACACTCAAACGATTACTGCACGTACGACACTACATAAGATTATGTTTGATATCCATTTTTTTATTATTTTTGTGTCAGAAAATACGTTGTTTACATTACGCATAATTAGTGATCGTTGGTACTACTACATATATCATAGTACAGATCCCCAACTCCCATTCGTCTTCAGTGACAAGCACTGTTCAAGAACCTTTTCCTAAATGCGAGTTGTTCTGTACTCTTTACAAGTATTTATTTGCCAGAAGAATCCAGGCAGCAGTAATGGATCCATAAGTTCACACAAATTTAAAAAAATTGAAATTCAGATACGTAGATCTCCGAAAGCTTGTATACGGTACAATATCTGACTTTTCTGAAGGATAAATGGCACCATCAACTACAGTATGTCGAATTAAACAATTTTACGGAGTTCGGTGTCCAACGTTTTTAAGTGTATAATAAAGCGATTTATTTAAGCTATTGTCAATATTTAGTCCAAATAATAAATGGCTCCATAATATTTATTTTGTGCAATCAAAACAATGAAATGGTTATCTGATATATCGGAATCACTTACTTTAAGGTTTGTTTGTATATACCAATGTTACATTTCGTTTTATGGCAAAATCTTGAATATTATTTTTCGGTATGTATTAGCGCTGTTATTATCTGCATCATTATCGTCCACTGAAAAATCTCGCAAATGGGTGAAAATTTACATAAAAAGTCTGACTTAGAAGTTGAAAATGAGAATGTCGTTGTTGACTCAGTACTGATGCATAAAGCTACACCAGAATATCTTCAAGAACTACTAAAAGACAAAAGGCAGCTGCAGAACTTCCCAAACATATTTTTACATCTAGAATTCATTTTAGAGAAAGGTAAATACTTCGTTAATATATTTCATATGTTTAGCTTGAAGTTATCAGATTGTATCTTGTTTTAGGTGGTGCAGAGGTAATGTCAGACCTAACAGTCTTTCGGTATAGATTATAAAGCCGTATCTGCATCCTAACATTTATGAATTTATATTTCTTTCCAGTCCCTTTGTATATGAATCGCTCATTCTACTGGCCTTATCTTCACACTTTGTTAATAAAACCACATGTTTATTTAGCTTGACGTTAATATTTAGTGAATTGTACTAATTTTGTTAAAATATTAAAATTGACATGTGAAATGTGTTGCTCAAATCAACAATAATACATCATTTGTGCTTCTAATTGGGATCTAATATGGTCTTTAACGTTACGTTGTGTATGTCTAAACTTTTGATCAGTACCATTTGTTTAAGACTATTGAAATACTAATCTAAAACCAAGCTTGATTTATGATAATGCACTTATTCTAATACATTTTTAGAGTATCACAGTAACATAATTATTATAGTTTTAATTTCCTTCAATCGGTAGTGAGGGTTATCTCACCATAATAAAAGTTTATTTGAGTGTTTATCCGATACTTTCGTACATTATAAATTGTTTGATGTCACTCAAGATTATCGCTGTGTATTTTGCCATTGCAGAAATTACTCGCGTAAGGCAAAAGCTATTTCATTTAAACGAATCAGTAAAGAAAACTGAAAACGAGCTTCCAGTACCCTCCGGAAATATTGTGTCATTACAAGAGAAGGTGTTTGTTCCTGTGAAGGAAAACCCCAATGTTGGTTAACTTCATTTACTTAAATAATCCTAATATTTTAGTATAACTTCGTTGGACGCCTTCTCGGTCCGAGAGGATTGACTGCAAAACAGCTTGAACAAGATTTGGAGTGTAAAATCATGGTGAGAGGTAAAGGATCACTTAGAGACAAAAGAAAGGTAAAACGTGACGAATTAAAAATAATATATCGAAATTTCGTTGTCACTTATACATCGCATAGTATAAATTGTGCAGGCTTGATAACGTTTTATTCTTAATACTATGGACGTTTTGCCATGTTGATCAGATTTTCGTCTTTTGGTAAAATGGATGGTTTTATATCCTACGGATATTTTTTTTAACATGTTGCTGAAGTAGATCATTTTTAAATGGTTCTATAAGATGCCAGTAATAAACTGAGTTTTCATAGATGGGTAAATAATATTTTGATATTTCGATCTGACATATTTCTATCGTTTGTACGTACGTATACATAGTAAAACTACTAGTGTTTTGTGTACGTAAACTAATGTTATCACATTCGAAAAGATTTTTTTTGGAAGGGATATTACCGGCACCCAATGATCACTTTATAGTAAAACTTAAGGAAGATGCCATAGATTGATGAAGTACAAATAATAGCCACTTAGTTAAGAGAACAGAAATCGGATTGACAAATTTACTTCTTTTTGCAAGCGACGTTGTAATGTTTTGAAGATTGAGATCAGTTATCTGTGGTTGAAATCTCAAACGTTGAAAAACTTATCTGTAGATTTGTGTTTTAGTCTTAACTGACGGGAACGTGTCAAGTAAATATTAACAATAACAAACTAACTCCAATATTCCTATTTACTAGCTGTTTTATAGATCAATTACATTCTTGATTAAAGTTAATTCTTTCTGACAGTTCATCAACCACATGCTATGGTAGTTTAAAACATAAACCGCGTGTACAGCTGTAGATCTCTGGGGAAATAAAGATATCTCATGACGGACTGAAATTTCCTAACGGAATTAGAGTGTCATAACGAGGAGTTATTTTACGTGTTTGATTATATAGTACACCTTCAGTTTTTTTTGTGTTGCTGTGTCACCCTATAAAGTAGATCATAGCAGAATTCTAAACATCTTGTATCAGAATCATTTGTTATGTTTGATGTATTTTCCACGTTTGTTCAATTACCTATGTACATATTTCCAACCACCATTTTATTAGTGTGATCTCTTTGAAAAAAGATGTTAATTCACAAGAATGACCATTAATGGTCTTCACTTTGGTTGTAGACCTGTATTTTGTCCACACAGATTATTATCGAGTTTTATGTTGTTTTTAGCATACCCAGGCATTTTACCAGCAAAGTTTTATTTTAATTTCAATGTAATGGTGTTGATATTTACTTACTGAAGATATCGATTTCGTAATGACTCAGTTGTTCAACCAGAGTTCAAAATTATTGACGTTTTTATTTTACTTTTACTAAACAGAATCCTTTTAGAATTTATAACCTGAGTAACATGTCCCAAATAACAATTCAATAGATGTTTTATATTCTCTACATGTAAATATATCAATACAAAATATTCCTATAGGAGGATTCAAACAAAGGAAAACCAAACTGGGAACACCTGGATGAGGAGTTGCATGTTCTGGTGAGCGTCGAAGATTTTGAAAGTCGTGCGGCGATTAAACTGAGAAGAGCGTCTGAAACAATTCGTGCATTTCTTGAGCAAGGAGTGAGAACGGTAAGTAGAGGTTTTTGAAGTAAAGCACAAAATCATACGTGAACTGTTTTATTTAAGTCTTAGCTATATAGGACCTAAAACGTTCTGTAAAGAGATGCTTATAAAAATTGCCTTGGAAACCAAAGCAGCGATATGTCACAACCCGTTCAAAATTCAGTCATTGAAAATTCTCTGCTAGATTACAACCTAGTACTTTAGTCATCATCATTACAATTTAATCTCCTTGAAAAACTAGTCAGAGATGTTCTTTTATTTTTGTGCGTAACTAAAATAAGTTTTAAGTTGAAGATGGATTTTGAAACACAAAAATACTTTTGATATGGCAAAAATTCGTATAAATAATTTGCGAATAAGCTCAAAGAAAGGCACTTTGAAAAAATCTAGCGCTGAAACTGAGAGCAGGTTACGCAATAGCTACTAAACGTTCTTAGTAAATTTAATTCACTTTTGAAGGACGGGAAAAATCTGTTGGTCTTGTTGATATTTTTTGATAAGTTGCTTCATATCAGATGCGTATAAAACAACTATAAGGGTTCCAGTGTTGAATTCGTTGAATATAACCCTAAGTTATTGAGTAAATGATTAGATAAAGTACTAAGGTAAAAAATACCACTTCAGTTTGCCTAAATGAAATCAATAAATGTACTGTGCTTCATAAATATCTCAAAAACAATCTACTATAAACAGGTAGTTAGCACTAGAAACAATTTTATGCACTATGCACGCATATCATCAAAAGTAGTTGAATAACCGATTCTAAGTATATCTAGCTACAAAATTTCTGATTCTAATGATAACAAATGTTTATAATCCGTTACTTTACTTGGTTTCACAGTTTTATTGCATATAAATGAAATTCAACCGACTGTTACACTTTCATTTGAAGTGTTCGGATCGGGTTTTGAATGGTAGAAATTTAACTTAGGGAAACCATAGTTTGTTGGGGCGATGGGTTATTATTAGGAAAGTAATTTGAGGTTTTTGATACGATCGTTTTGTTTCGTACTTTTAGCCGTAGTTAAGCAACTGACTGTATTTGACCTTATGATGTCATAAACTATACTTTTATTTGCATCCTATCATTTAGAATCAAATTTTGTTGTTCTCGAATTAGCAGTGAACCATTAATTCGCATAAAGTTTTCTTCATATGAGTTTTAAGGTTTATTAATTGTCTGGTACAGAACAATACAGTTGTATAAACTTAGAAATGCTTTACATCAAGCAATTCCTAAGAATAAATATGATATAAATTTGAATATCAAAGTATTTTTGTTGACAGGTATCAATATCAAGGTTATACTTGATGGTTTCAAATAAATTAAACATTAGGTAGAGAGCTAATAATAAACTGTAGAGAGATTGTATTTCTGACGTTTCGGGACTTATTACAAGCCACTTCTTAAGATAAAATAAAATAAATTCACTCTAAAGAAGTGGCTTGAACTAAGTCACGAAACGTCAGGAGCACGATTTTTGTCTAGTTCCGAAGTATTTTAAGTTGTCGGTTACTCATAAAGTTGGAACGTCGTGAATCTCATCATTATATACTTATGGAATATAGATTAAAATTGGTTATTTTAGCGTGCCTTTGTACATTGTTAATCTTTTTATAGGTCCCCAGTTAAATGTCATTCCATACAGTTCATAGTTTAATTCTGTTCATTCTTTGTGAAATACATTTCTTGGGTTTAGATTTCTGATAGAGGCAAATTTATTATATTTGTTATATAAGATCACTTAAAAATGCCATTGGTTGGTTTTAGAGATCTGAAAGATTCATTCTAGTAATAACTAGTAAGGATTCAAACCCAGGACCCAGGATGCGCACTGCTGAGGAGTCCCGTACTAGGACGAAACGGCCATCTAGTGCTTCCAGGTTTTCCATGGTGGTTTAGCTTTAATTGACTCAAGAATGCAACTATTTAATTACTAAAAAATCCCCACAAAATCACCTTCTGCTGATAATCCTAACTCTTTTGACCTGGACAATGTCTTCATTTATGATGACTGTTAGTTTGTGGATTTTTTGTGCTCTACTGAACATTGTACTTTTAGCTTCCTGTTTTATCTGAAACTAGAAGAATACTGGACTCTACTAAGTCATGTCAACAACAAGTATTGTTTTAAAGTGTAAGTTTTGTTTGCTACTATTTTACTAGCTTCATTGTAGATAAATATCTATTAGAAGCTGTCTCGAGATTTATTTATAATATGCGGATACTGATCGGGATTTTTAATTGTACTAGCTTTCGCATCTTCCGAAGCTCAGACCAAGGTTTTCTATTATTTGACAATAATGATCATAGTCGATCTTCAACCCTGGTTGATATAATACGACATCTAGGATTCAGATCAGTCTTACTTGCTGCTTCACTTACTGAAATGAAACATATCTTTAAAATTTAAACATACACTTAGCTGGTCAACGCCTATGACGAAAATTACCCAGATCCACTTCACCTTAAGAATAACCGTCGATCATCAAAGAAATACGGTCATAATGATGAGTTAAGTGGTCAAGTGACCACGTTGTGAAAATGATCAATAAAATTCGACTAACACCAACATAACATTGTCGATAAAGAAGCGTCAGTTAGTATCCATATCCCGGCACTAGTCTGCTGCAATAACTTTGTAATATACTGATCACTTTCATTGACTCTTAAAACTAGCATATTTAAAAAATTTCACCTGTTTTCAACGATTAATTTATAAATACTGTGAATGAAATCGTTGTCAGAGTAACTCATTTTTGTAACTAATTAGTTTCGTACCATCTCTCATTTTTTAAGCAACTGATTATGTTCAGTTCTTTCATGTCATTCACCTATAAATGTTGTCTGTTAATGTAAGTCAAGACTGGTTTTCTCCATTGTTACTGTCGCTAATGCTGCTGTTGTTCTTCAAGGATTGTAAAGTATCACAATGAATAAGCCATTCATTAAACTTTTTATTATTATTATTTAGTTCATGATAACAACATACTACACACAAATGGATTAATATAAACTGTAAATATCTTTGAAATTCATTATTATTTATTGAATAATATTTCACTATCAAATAATGAATATAAGTGAATGTTTCACAATGAGAAAAATGTTCTCATTGTATGAAATTATATTAATCATCGAATTTAAAACGTTTTATAAAATTTGTCATTTACTAATCTATTAAAAAGTAGTTAATTGCCAACATAAACACAAAACATTTACTGGTAATACTACAGTTAAAAGCACACAATAAGTATAATAATACATTGTACATCGATTTTCCAAATTTCTTCTTAAACACACTACTCACATTTCTCAGTGGTTTTTTTCTGAAAAAAAAATTATTCTCTAGAGTTCACTATTTTTATATTTTGCATTTGTTTACTAATTATTCATTCCTTTATACGCTAACAATCGATAAATCAACAATTGTGTAGTGAAGAAGATACAGTATATAGATATATATAGAAACTAATTATTGATTTAAATCTAGTTTATTCAATAAAAGTAGCATTGATTTTGAGCGTGATAAGCTTAATATTGATATTTTATTTTATTAGTAGGCTAATAATAGTGACAATGAAATTAATTATTTCTTATATTCTAAAATTAATAATCACCACGTAGAGGAGTTTATAAATATATAAGCTAAAAAAGGACCTTTTTTTCAATTGATTATCTGGTTTATATAAGTTCATAATTGGACTATGAAAAAAAGTGATATTAAGATTGTGATAGATGTGCCAAATCTATAAGAGGTAATTTTCATTATAGAAGAGTAATTATTGGATGAATGTGAATATGAGTTGTACTAGCGATCACCAAAAAAAGCGAATTTGTCTGTATAATTTTGTGTTGTCAGATGTGATGGATTCCTGGATTACTTAATTGATTATTGTTTTCCGTACATTCTAGTAGATGTATTGCTTTCTCATATCAAATGAATTCTGACGATTATTCTATGAATTTTCTTAGAAATATCCGTTCTATCAAAAGGTATAAATATTTTATTTATATATGGATTAAAGTCGGTACATATTTCGTACACGCAGATTTTCGAAGGATCATTAGGCAAGTTAAGCTATCAAGTCCAAGCTATTTTTATTGATTTCTTTGCGGTATTTTTCAGTAACAAACTATGTGCTCATCTAACTCTACATGTTTAAAGTATACGATTTCACTGTTATGGAAACAAAATATGACACTGGACATTCGTTTGAACTTTACTGATACTTTCTGTCACTTTTATTGTTTAGACCTAATTGACATTATACACCTGAAATATTTAGAATTACTTTCTGTAACAACATATTAGTTGTACACTTTCAACAATTCATACATGTCTAAAAAACAAGATTTAAAATTTTAGTTTATTTGTGTTTATTTGTCAGTTAATAAGCCTAATTTAATTGGTTTGTATAAGAGTTTTAATTCTCACGTTATCTGGACTACAAACTCGTGACCACTTTAAAGAAGTATAGAATACTTTATGACCTAGTTTATGTTTATCATAAATAATGAGTGCACTTTGGTCCAATTCATACATATTCATACAGTATACATTATCTCATGATTTCTAAGGTGGTTACAAATTGCTGCTTTTATTTTAATTTATTGGTTAATGGACTACGAAACATGCATCATTAGTTATAATCTGTTTCTGATTATAAATCTTCACTTTGCATTCGTTTTTTCTTACTCATTTTAGCTCAAAAATCAAGACAGTAGTCACAGAAACTAAAGTAAAATAAAACATGCTTAATTTATCTACATTTATTAAAAAGTACATTGATGGCTCAGAACTATTTACTATCCTTTTGTGCACATATTCTTACGTGTGTATTTGTATTAAGAACAAAATAGGGGTTCAGATAACAGAGGTTAAATTGTTTATCTATACCTTTTAAGCAGTGATTTTTGGAGTCATGGTCATTTAAGGTTATTTTGAAAACAAGTGAATACCAGAGAGTTTGATGGTTGGATGGTCTCTAGTAGTTGTATGCTC